CGTCTGTCAGAGGTGTGATCTTCTTCTCCGGCTCTTCATCATCGGCGAATGTCTTTTTGTACTTCTCCCAGTTCTGGCCGGTTGCGCTAGGCATGTTGGGTGGACGAACAGGGTTGAATGAGGGATCAGGCGAGCGAGGCTAAGGTAAGGGAGCTGACGCAGCGAAAATTCGGAGGTAATGTGCAGTGGAGGGAAGGAGATGCAGACGGTACTGAAGGCGAAGACGAGTACGGAACTGATTGGATGGCGAGGTGTTGACACAGGATGCATCATCGCGCCGTGCCTGACGCAGCCTTGCCTCACCACGCTCACCTGCTCAAATGATCCACCGCAGTTTCAGCCTTGCGGTGACTTTCCCCTTCTCCAACTTTCAGCGAAATTTCCGTGTGCCTGGCGCATGCAGTCGAGTTGAGCAAAAGAGTGCTTTCTGAAATCAACCTGGCATTTCCTTTCGCCCACGTATCACCAACATGGCGGCTGCATTGGGGATTCAAGGCAACGCCGGCGGCAATGCTGCCTTTAAGGTACGTTTCTGAGTGCAAAGACTCGTCCACGACTAACTGGTTTCTTAGGATAAAGAGAAGCCGATGGCTGTGCGGTCAGCCAATATCATGGCTGCGCGAGCAGTCTCGGATGCGATCAGAACTTCACTAGGGCCTAGAGGGATGGACAAAATGATCCAGTCAGGCAAAGGCGAGAGTTTGATCACAAACGACGGCAGCACAATGTTGAAGAGCATGAGCGTGATGCATCCCGCAGCGAAGATGCTGGTCGACCTGAGTAATGCACAAGACGTCGAGGCCGGTGACGGGACGACCTCTGTAGTGGTCATTGCTGGCAGTCTGCTTGGGGCCGCAGACCGCCTACTCGCCAAAGGCATCCATCCCACCATCATTTCCGAGTCTTTCCAAAGAGCGTCCAAAGCCGCCGTCAGAGTTCTGGAAAACATGTCGCAACCTATCTCCCTGTCCGACCGCACCACCCTTCTCCAGGCTGCCTCAACCTCTCTCTCCTCGAAAATCGTGTCCCAACACTCCGGATTACTTGGCCCGATGGCCGTGGATTCGGTGCTCAAGACGATCGATCCAAAGACTGCGGAGAATGTGGACCTACGGAATATTAGGATCGTGAAGAAGGTTGGCGGTACTATCGAAGACTCGGAAATGATTGACGGCTTGGTCCTCAACCAACCTGTGATCAAGAGCGGTGGTGGTCCAACCAGGATAGAAAAGGCGAGGATCGCATTGATCCAGTTCCAACTCAGCCCTCCAAAGCCCGACATGGAAAATCAAATTGTGGTCAACGATTACAGACAGATGGACAAGATCCTGAAGGAAGAACGAACCTATTTGCTCAACATGGTCAAGAAGATTCAGAAGGCCAAGTGCAATGTGCTATTCATCCAAAAATCCATTCTCAGAGATGCGGTCAACGACTTGTCATTACATTTCCTGTCGCGGCTGAAGATCATGGCCATCAAAGACATCGAGCGAGACGAGGTCGAGTTTCTGTGCAAGAGCACCGGATGCAAGCCCATCGCGAACATCGACACCTTTTCAGAAGATAAACTTGGCAGCGCAGACCTGGTGGAGGAAGTCAGTTCGAATGGGGCTCGATATGTCAAGGTCACCGGTATCCGGACGGCATCACCCCAACACCAAACAGTGTCGATTATTGCTAGAGGCGCCAACGCGTTGGTCCTCGACGAGGCGGAGCGATCAATACACGATGCTCTGTGCGTCATCCGGTGTTTGGTCAAGAAGAAGGCTCTGATTGCTGGTGGTGGAGCACCAGAAGTTGAGATAGCCCACCAGTTAGCCAAACAGGCGAGAGAATTGACCGGCACGGAAGCCATCTGCTGGAAGGCTTTCGCAGACGCGATGGAGGTCATTCCCACGACTTTGGCTGAGAATGCAGGTCTAAACAGCATCAAAGTGGTGACTGATCTACGACATCGACATGACATGGGAGAAAAGAATGCCGGAGTCAGCATCCGGAGTGGCGGCGTCAAGACGAATATTGCAGACGAGAAAGTGCTCCAGCCTCTCCTCGTGAGCACGAGCGCCATCGAGTTGGCAGCTGAGACGGTCAAGATGATTCTACGGATTGATGACATCGCATTGTCACGATGATGGATTATGAGGACGGGGATCTGGTCTAGGGAGTCGGGATAAAAGTGAGTCGAGTCATGCATAGCGAGGCTCTTGAATGAAAAACCCACGTGCAGCCGGACGCATAGTCGGAAGTCGACTCGAACAGTGTGAACCTGTCAAGATGGTCGATACATCTGCTGCTTGTCGTACTCTGTCCAGCGAAGAGCTTCCGTGATACCTCCTGGGGCACCATGCTGAGTAGGACCAGGAATAAAGCCAGCAGGTTGTTGCTCCTATCACTAAACTAAATCCATCAACGAGGTAAACAGGAGCGCCTTTCGTCGACGAGCTGTTCCGTATCCAACACTTTCTCATTGAAAGCTAGCAGCGGGGCCCCATGCCTGTATCGCTCGGCCTCGCATGTATTCGCGTAATCACCCTCGAAAACCTCAAAGTGTACTCCGTACAAGTATGTTCAATGGTTCGATCAATCACCCCTGGTCGGTACCTGCGAAAGCGATCCTCAAATTGTCCACACCTCCACCAAATACCTAGGCAGTTTGTTGTTTCGGACGCGGAGTATGCTGGCCCGCAGACTGCATTATACCTGACCTCGATGCTACAATAACGACCCAACAACACTTCTAAGGGTCAGGATCTTCAGATCGAAGTCCTAGACCCACGCCCACATGAGAGGAAAGACGTTTGCGGGTTGATATCTGGATAAAAACCCAGAGACGCCTGTCATGACCTTCTCACTGTTCTTCTCGCACCATTTCGTCTCTCGGCCGCTTCGAGCCTCCACCATTTCTACCTAAATCACCTCATAGCTCGCAGGACCTGTCTACAAACGAGATTCCTGCCTGTGATCCCTTACATTCTCATATGATTGATGCACAGTGCCCGTCATCTAGCCTTTGGCCCGAAAACTCCTTCAGGAATGACACTATGAGCCCGTCGACCCGGCCATTTACGGTCGGGAATTCCGCAGAGGGTACTCCATCTTCGAGAAACACGGGCCGGCTGTAAGTCGTGAGTCGTAGCTGTGTTTGTCACCCAGACAACATCCCATGTCTCAGACCTAGTCTTACGTGTTGACCGTTCATCCTGGTCACTGGGGCATCTATTGGATTGAGCCTGTTCGATCCGGAAGTAGCCACAGATGTTCTCAAGCGGATCAAAGACTTCCCCGCCACAGATGGACATGGCGGCCGTGATCATGGACATCTTTGAACCCAGTCTCCTCACCAGCAATGGCGAGACTGGAGCGCGCCAACGCAAATCCATTGCGCCGAATGTCAACGAGAAGATCAGCGAGTCAGTCTTTGACGGGTCAATCCCAAAAGCACATCGGATGCTTTCCTCCGACCTGGAGGACTGGAAAGACATCACCGATGACACTATGCGCGGCTGCAAGAAAATCGCCATCAACTGACCTATATGGAGGCGACCGAAGATGATGGTGGAAAAGTGAATTCTCGTGCTCCTGATCAGTTCATATTGATGCTTTTGTTCGTGCTTTTGGAGGTTAAATGGGCGGCATCGTAGCATTGCTGAAGCGTCCGCGCTGCCAGCGAGGATGCTCACATTGCCCAGCTTTCCATCATTCGGGCAGCACATTGGTCACGCGATGAAAGAGTTCCCATTGTATACCAGGGAAATGCCTGAGAACGAGACGCAGATGCAAGAAGACAGCTCCGAACCGTGGAACAACTTGATGAGCTTGCTCATGCGTCTAACAGCTTCCCCAAAGATGAAAGACAGCCGGACCTAGGGATGGACAACGCCAGCAAGACCGCACAGATCCTCTCGGAGGAGGAAGTCCTGGGCAACCTCTTTGTCTTTACGTCGGCTGGTTTCGATGCCCCGGCGAATACAGTACCATGGCATACGCTTTGGCGTTGTCCGAGACGTACCCGGAATGGCAAGACTGGCTGTATAGGGAGATCAGCCAGATCATCGGAAACAGGAAGATGGAGAGCCTGGAATGCAATGAGGGATATCCTCACTTGTCGTGTTGTCTGGCCCTTATGGTACGTCTCTCAAGGACGCGACACCTGCGCTCAATCCTTTTAGAGGCTGTCGCCGCTCTTCGTCAAGATTCGGCAAAGGAAAGCATGCTAACCATTACGAGCAGCTTGGAACTATGCGACTCTTTGAGCCGGTAACTCACATGCAGGTCCTCGCCAGATCCTTCTGCCCAGCACCCACATACTGATGACAACCACAGTGCCAGAAAAGTCAACTCATACTCCGACGTCGAATTCAAGACCACATCTAGAACGTTTTGCATCTCGACGAACACCATCATCTACATCAGTGCCGCGGCTTTTGATAGTGCGCCAAAGTTAACGTTACAGATGGCTAGCAAGCGGGACTTGGAGGGGAGACGGATCGGGAGGTGAAGAAGGACATAAGGAGTTTAGTATGGCATTGGGGAAGGGTGCTGCCCTCTACGGAGTATGGTCAGGGGGCTTTCCGACAGGAACACACAACACATAGGTATGTATCTCCTCCTCTACCCACGAGCTTCCCCATCTCGCTGCTGATCCCTAGAACATCACTCACCAGCCACTCCGAGGAGGTCCTTCAAGCCGGGAATCGGGGTCTGCCTCGGCACTCGGACGTGCAGAACGACCTCCTTCTCCTCATCTAGCAAGGCTTCATACGCCCTTCATGCTCTTCCACCAGGGTATGGGCCTGATATTGTCATCATTGCGGATTGTGGCCTGCATTTGGTAATGGATTTCCCCCGGACTTTCTCCCGTGCTCTCAAAGTGGTAAGCGGTGACTTGATCGCAATAAGTCCATCCGAGGCAAGTCAATCGTCGAGGCGTGATTCCATGCAATATGTATCTCGCCCTCTTGCTCATGTCCATGGCCTGCATCCTCGCTCAAATCTAGAGCATGCCGACTGATGAGATCGCAAACGTCGCATCCGTCTATCTGGGGGAGAAACCCGAGGAAGGTAGGTCAGCATCTTGATGTCCAGTGGCATGCGAGAAGCTGAGAGCCCCGGACTTGATACCACACAGTGGCACGCTGCTGACTTGGTTAGGACACGGTGTCGCCCAAGCTGTTCGGGAGGAGGTGAAGGCCGGTGCTCCTGGCCTAGGCCAACATCATGGACGCAAGGAAGTCTTTTCAGGTCCAACCGAGCAGATTGCTACCGCACCGGCGCCATCTGACTCTCCTAATGAGCACGAACAACCAGTCCAGATTGGAGAACAATCAGCGAATGCGCGTCCGATTCCGCCGCCAGATATTGGTCTACAGCCATGGCTGCAGGTGATCGCGGGCCACTTCCTGATGTTCAACAACTGGGGTCTCGTCGTCTCCTACGGCTCCTTCCAGACCTACTATGCTTCATCCGCCGGTTTGGATGGCGGCAACGCGAACCCATCACTCATCTCCTGGATCGGCTCCATCCAAAACACCTTGCTCCTGCTGGGCGGGGCGTTCGGGGGCCGGTGGTTCGACGCCGGCTATCATCGCTACATGGTCGGTAGTGGGACCATCCTCGTCGTCTTCGGCCTCTTCATGACCAGCCTCGTGACCAAGTTCTACCAAGCACTCCTGGCGCAAGGTTTCTGCGTCGGTCTGGGCATGGGCTTGCTCCTGATCCCCTCGGTCGGGCTGCCGAGTACGTGGTTCGTGCGCCGGCGCGGTCTCGCCGTTGGGATCGTGAGTTCGGGGGCCAGCGTCGCGGGCATCGTCCTGCCTATCGCGCTCCGCCATCTCATCGGCACGCTGGGGTTCCCTTGGTCCCTGCGCATCCTGGCCTTCATCTCCCTTGCCACGCTACTTGTCAGCAACGTCCTCATCCGTCAACGTCTCCCACCGCGTCGCCTGGCCAAAGGCCCGGCGCCCTTCGTCGAATATCCCGCCCTCCGCCAACTTGACTTTGCACTGTACGTCGTGGGGCAGTTCATCACGTACTTTGGCTTCTTCGGCTTCTACAACTACGTCGAGTCGTGGGCGAAATCGACGGACCTCGACTCAGGTGGATTCCCACTGGAGTATATCCTTCCCGTGCTCAATGCGGCGAGTATCCTAGGAAGATTGATCCCGTGCTTCGTGGCGGATTATACGGGGCCGTTCAACGTCGCGGTGCCGAGCCTCTTCGTGGCCAGTCTGCTCGTCTACGTCTGGATTCCCGTCCGGACGATCGGTCCACTGCTCGCCATCACGGTTCTGTACGGGTTCTTCTCCGGAGCCGTGATTGCCATCACGCCTGCCGTGGTCGCCAGTCTGACGGAGGACTTGACGTCGTTCGGCGGGAGGATGGGCGTCATGTTCTTGGCCATTGCGTGTTCCTCGCTCGTGGGCCCACCGGTTATGGGTGCGATCGTGGAGATGCACGGTGGGAATTACGATGCCGCGAGAGTATATGCCGCGACAATGTTGCTAGGAGGAGGCGTCTGTTTTACGCTGGCGAGGATGGTCAAGAGCAAGGGGAAGTTGATGGTCAGAGCGTGAGGCTGCAGCGGTGCCTTTGTAAATAGATGGTATCTACGCATCAGGTCAGATCCACCCGGAGCTGCTGCATTCTGTCAGTCTTCGCACCACCTTTGCACAATAAGAGCATCGCACCGTTTTCTGGCTCGTCGCCCTCTTCTGTCGCAGGTGCTGTAGAAATAGGCGTCGTGTGATTGGTTCGTGGGCGGCGTCGGAAGATGCCTCGGGCGCGGTCGGTCGGTCGATCCACCTGCGACTTGAGCTCGCATCATGGATCTTGGTCTTGGTCTTGGATCATTGTCAATTGACTTGACTTTCATTCCGTCGTCTCCCTGCGCTCTTTTGCCCCCCCGCCTCGCCACGCTGCGTCGCGACCTGTTCCTGTCTGAACGTCGAACGTCGAAAGCATTGCCATCGTCGACGATGAGCTCGTCTCGGATTCTGCGGAGCTTGGCTCCATGCCACAAGGTGCGCTTTGACTGACGGAGCTTTGGAGGGGCGATCCGGTACTGATTCCGATGGCCCAGTTCACGCGACCTCTCCGACCCACGAGCAGACGACAATTTTCCTCGACGAGACCTGCCGGTAGGATTTGCACAATGATGAGCAGCTGGGCGATTGAAGACGCTAAGATTTCACACAGCACGAGTGGTCGCCTCTCAACCTCTGCGAGCGAAGGAAGCACAATCGCCCTTGACTGCCACTGGTGGTTCTTATGCCATTATCGACCACGAATACGATGTGAGCAGCTAGCATGAGACGGTGCGAAGGTGCAGGCTGACGACGTTGCAGGCCGTGGTCGTGGGCGCCGGTGGTGCTGGTCTCCGAGCTGCCTTCGGTCTGGCGGAGGCTGGATTCAACACAGCATGCGTAACGAAGCTCTTTCCTACGAGAAGTCACACCGTGGCGGCACAGGGCGGTATCAATGCCGCGTTGGGAAAGTGAGTGGGCTCGTTCCGGAGACAGAGGCGGCACTGACGAACGCACAGCATGCACGAAGACGACTGGAGATGGGTAAGTGCTTGCATGTGGCCTCTCGAGGGCCGGACTCGGACATCCAGGTCCCCCGCGAGATATGTGGTTGTCAAGGATGTTCAAGAAAGCTAACTTTGCGGTATTCTGCCAATCTAGCACATGTACGATACGGTATGTTGTCGCTGCATCCTGTGAAGATGTCCTAGACGCTCATGATCGTGCAGGTAAAAGGTTCAGATTGGCTGGGTGACCAGGACGCCATCCACTACATGACCCGCGAAGCCCCCCGGTCCGTCATCGAACTTGAAGGTTACGGATGCCCGTTTTCGCGGACAGAAGATGGCAAGATATACCAGCGTGCTTTTGGTGGCCAGTCCCAGAAATACGGCAAGGGCGGACAGGCATATCGATGTTGCGCCGCCGCCGATCGAACCGGTCACGCTCTCCTACACACCCTGTACGGCCAGTCGCTCAACCACAATACCAACTACTTCATCGAGTTCTTTGCATTGGATCTGATCATGGAGGACGGCGTCTGTAAAGGTGTTCTCGCCTACAACCAGGAGGATGGCACCCTGCACAGATTCAAGGCGCAAAACACCGTGCTGGCCACTGGTGGCTACGGTCGTACCTACTTCAGCTGCACATCAGCCCACACATGTACCGGTGACGGTATGGCAATGGTCGCTCGCGCCGGTTTGCCCAACCAGGATCTCGAATTCGTCCAGTTCCATCCCACGGGTATCTACGGTGCTGGCTGTCTGATCACCGAAGGTTCTCGCGGCGAAGGTGGTTACCTTCTCAACTCCGAGGGTGAACGGTTCATGGAACGTTATGCCCCTACCGCCAAGGATCTGGCCTCTCGAGACGTCGTGTCGCGATCAATGACGATGGAAATCCGCGAAGGTCGTGGCGTCGGCCCTGACAAGGACCACATCTACCTGCAACTCAGCCACTTGCCGCCTGAAATCCTGCACGAACGACTGCCCGGTATCTCGGAGACCGCGTCCATCTTTTCCGGTGTGGATGTCACGAAGCAACCGATCCCTGTCTTGCCTACGGTGCACTACAACATGGGTGGTGTGAGTATTCCCCCTCTGTGATGTAATGGGGGTTTCTTTGCAATCTCCCCGACGATATCAGCACGCTAACAGAGCTCCACAGATCCCGACCAAGTATACCGGTGAAGTCCTCCGCATCAACGATCAAGGCAAAGATGAAGTCGTGCCCGGCCTGTTTGCCTGCGGTGAAGCTGCCTGCGTGTCCGTCCACGGAGCCAATCGGCTGGGCGCCAACTCTCTCCTCGACTTGATTGTCTTCGGTCGTGCCGTCTCCCATACCATCCGCGACAACTTCTCGCCCGGCCAGACCCAGAAGGAGATCGCTCCGGATGCGGGTGCCGAGTCGATTGAAGTGCTCGACCAGATCCGAAACTCGAGTGGTCCCAAGAGCACGGCCGAAATCCGATCGGCCATGCAAAAGGTCATGCAGGCTGATGTCAGCGTCTTCAGGACGCAAGAGTCGTTGGACGAGGGCGTCAAGAAGATCAACGAGGTCGATCAGACGTTCGCCGACGTCGGTATCAAGGACCGAAGTATGATTTGGAACTCGGATCTCGTCGAGACGCTCGAGCTGAGAAACCTTTTGACCTGCGCGTGAGTACAAAACAATACCAACTTGGTGATTTTTGAAACTGACAACGTTTGCAGCACGCAAACAGCCGTCTCGGCGGCAAACCGCAAGGAATCACGCGGTGCCCACGCCCGAGAAGATTATCCCGAGCGTGACGACGAGAACTGGATGAAGCACACGCTGTCATGGCAGAAGAAGCCTCATGGCAAGGTCGAGCTGGGCTACAGAGCCGTGGTTGGCCACACCCTGGATGAGCAAGAGTGCAAGGCCATTCCTCCGTTCAAGAGAACATACTAAGCCCTACAGCTGGGGGTCGCACGAGGCTGTACGGAGCGCTCCTCCATGCAGTATTTCACGTTTCCCTGCTCGTTTTGGACGGCTCGGGGTTTGACTGATCTAGTGGAAGCATAGCCAACAAATGTAAAATGTTACTCGTACCATGCATACATGACATGAATTCCGGCGCGTGTACTGCAGCACTTATACAATCGTGCTAGCCGTGTTCGACAAGTACAATCCAGCATTGTACCGCCTACACAGTAGACGTAATGCAAGCAACACGACGTAGCCAACGTTTTGAGGCATCTCGCCTCTCACCTCTCACCTCTCATCTCACTCGCCAATAACGTACTCACACCCTATTCCCACAGTTAGTAGGTATGTAATTAGAGTGAGACGACCTTTTTTGTGCGCGCGCGCGGTGCAAAATTACTGTTGCTCAACTCACCTTCCTCGCCCATCCACACTTCGTGCACTTTGCCGCCGGGGACGTCGATGCGCGCACCCACGCCGAAGGTCTCCTTGGTCGGGTTGGCGTCCTGCGGGTACGTGATTGTCAGGGAGCCGCTGCGGATGAGATGCGTGGTCAGCCCGCCGTGCGAGTGCGGTGGGTAGTGTGCGTGTCTGGGTGCATGGGCACCAGGATAAATTTGTTAGAAATTGAGAATGTTACATGCATGCCAGACGCCAGATGCGTGACCGAAGATGGAAGCTTGAAGATGGAAGATGGAGGATTGAAGATGGCAGATGGAAGATGTGAGATTCAACATGCGAGATGGAAAACAGCGAGATGAAGATGAAGGTACGGTATTCGCCATCTAGAGTCGGATGGATCTCGATGGGTGTACTCGTGCACAGTAGGAAGGGTGATTGTGGCCGGAACAATGTAATGTAATCTCATGCACTGCTGCCACCACGCGACGCTGCGAAGACTGTGCATGCTCGCTTCGTGCGCCATGCCATGCGTGCATTATGCAGGTACTAACGTTCTGTGTAGTCATATGTGCAGTGTGGAGTGTGGAGTGTGGAAGATTGTGGCTGGAGTACTCACGGCCCGTCAGTCCATGTAAAGACATGGGAGAAGCCCCATTCTCGGACGGTCTTTTCGTCCTGGGCGCGCGATGTCGTTCGTGTAGATGTCGTTGAGGTCGGCATTCCGGTTAGACAGATGGTATGCAGTGGCGAGTGTGTGTCCGAGTTTGCCTTGTTCTCACTGTTGTGTTGTAGCAGAGTGAGACACGAGGGGCCGGAACTGGGGGCTAAGACTCAGGAGGGCAATACCGAAAAAGAAAAAGCAATGCATGCAATGTGATGCGAAAGTACTGTGTACTCCCTACAGTGCTCGTGTCCGAGATGGTTCTGGCCTGCAGGACATGTGAGGTCGAGTTCATGGTGGATTACGTCGGCCAAGCGCTGTATGCGCCCTCAGCCGTCACTCGTTTCAGCTTCATTCGGGTCAGTCCACGTGGTTGATTGATATACTGTACTCCGTAAGGTACAGAGTAACTGGTACGAGTACTCATGACTGGTATGTTCATGTCTCACCCCTCCTTGCCTCGTGCTTGATGGTTATCGGCCTGGACTTTTGCCATCTCAGGCTCAGCAGATGCGGCATACACAGTCGTCTCAAGTTCATTTGATTCGTCGCTGAGGACTTGTCTCAGAGCACGCGCCACAGAATGCCTTCACATACCGCTGTTGAAAGTGCCTCTATAGCAACGGATGAGAAACTGTCCTTTCGATCGTTCTGGATTTGTTGATAGCTCGCATTGGGGGTCTCTAGCCCGTGTCACCATCGACTCGAAGTGCTTGCATTGGAGCACCGTGATTTCAATTCCAACTGCAGTTGACCGAGGCTCCCCGCACGCGCTGGTACGTGCTTGCCCATGGCGATCCAGACCGGGCAGATGAGACCGAAATCATGGAGGAGGGCTGGTTTTGAAGTCGCTGCCGGTCTTTCCGAAGTGCTTGCATTCGACGACCGAGTCCCGAGGACTGGATCGAAAACCTCGTCACTTCTTGCCCTGATGAAATCGGTCCGGTCGAGTACGCCAATACCTGGTTGTTTTGTTCCACTGCCGACCAAGCTCTCCTGCGCGTCGGTCGCCTTTCAGAATGAAGATGCTTTAGTCGCAACAGATCAAGTTTGTCTCCTGCGACCACCTCTGTCACAGCGGAGTCCAAACAGTCATGCTTTGTCGAAAACGCCGTATTGGCATCCTCTTTGCGGGAAGCAACAATATCCCAACCCGCCGGTCGTGGCTGTGGATGAAGGCTGAACCAGATGAGGCTGAGCACAACATGTGGTAATTGGTGGTATGGCTTGAACTAGAATCATCCCAGTACTCCACGACCACATTGCTCCATGTCACCGTTTCTGCTCAGTGATGAGGTCTTGGATTCATTGATGTTGTCTCCGCCCTCACCGCTGCTGACGCGTCGATGATATAACTTCCTCAACGGCTGAACAGGCGACATGAACATGGCGAACTGGGCGGACTGAAGTGGAAGACCGCAATTTCCACCCTGCGGCCTTACCTGCTCGCTTCTACGTAATGTAATCATGGGGGCTGGTGGCTGGCCACTCGCGATGCTCCTCGGCAGAGCGTGAAGGTCAACAAAGGGGGCAAGCTTCAGGGGAACTGGTGGACACCGGGAGCAATAAGGTTTGGCCTTGGCGCCGCATCGGGTCTAGTGTTGTTGATTTGGCTCTTCTAGCCGCGCTCCGTTCTCCTTCACCTCCCAACGTCCATCTCCATTTAGAAATTGGGCTGAAGCCTTCAGCATGCCAATTGACACCGGCTTCACCCATCCTTGCGACAGACAGGCCTCCCATGGACAGACTGGCTGGAAGCGGACAGCAAAGAGGTGAGTCCCGGGCTGACTGGATTGCGATTGTAACGGCTATCACAGCATCAGATGATGATGTGGCATCGCAATGGTGATTTTAAAGAGCTTCGACCAGGTCACCTCCGCCGCCACTGGCCAGAAACAGGTCAGCCCGAGCAGGCCCGGCGCCAGGATTGCTCCCTATCCCCTGCGTTCGGACGTCGGTCCGCCCTTGCCTTTGTTGGCCTCGTTGTTCCCCGTCCTTTCGACTTGGGCTCTTTGTGGATGGCCCAAAGAATGCCGATCTCCACTTTCAGCCAATGCTGGGCGTGCCTGGCCCATGCCCTCGGCGATCCAACGCCTCGACAATCTGGGAAGGACAAAGGTGGTGGGCCCATTGTTTGTTTCACATTCATTGCTCACGCGGAGCCCTGGGGGCGGGCAATAGTCGATGCGAAAATGGGCCTGCTATATCTCCTGGTCGCGTTTCTTTCTTTCCTCCTCGTCCTCTTGTCGTTGGTTGATAACGTCCACCGAACATCCAAAGTCTGTGACTTTCGTTGCGCTCTCTTTCGACGCCCACGACTTCACGTCACCACACTCATTATATCCCCGGAGGATACACTACACTCATTTGTGACTCAACCGCCAGCTTGCACTCGTACGCTCCTTTACAGGCCGAACTTGTGACCAACTATCACGCTCCTTCATACATCAAGACGACGAAGAACCACATCGTTTTCAATCGCAAAAACAGCAAACATGCAGCTCGTCAAGACTCTCTCCGTCATGGCTCTGGCCACCGGCGCTGTCGTTGCCATGCCCGCAGCACACCACAAACGTGAGTGGAGGGGTGGCGGCAACAGATGGTGGCAGCGTCCCAACCCCAACTCGGTGGTGACCGTCACGGCATATGATGCCCAACCCACGGACTGGAATGCGGCCCCCAGCCCGTCATCCACCTCCACCTCTACAACCACGACAGCTGAGGTTGTCGTGTCTGCCACTCCCACCTTCGACGGTAACTTCTTCAACCGGCCCACCCCTGAAGAGTCTACCCCTACACCCGCCGAGGCTCCAGAGGAGACGTCTGCTCCTGCTGACAGCTGGGCTCCGGCCGCTCCTTCTGCGACCCCAACCTCTGCCCCAGCCGACACCGGCGCTTCCGGCGGTCAGGGTAACTACATGGCCGTCGTTTCCAAAATGCGTGCCGCTGGTGGCCTCCCATCTTTCACCCAGGACAGCACGCTTGAGGCTAATGCCCTCAAGACCAGCACCGAGAGCACCAACGGCTTGCAACATCAACTGAACCCTGGCACCTTTGCCCAGGTGTTGGCTCCCGGCTCTGTCGATAACTTCGAGAGCGTCTACGTCGGTGGCTGGCTGTGCGAGATCCCCTCTCTCCCCGGCTTGAACGGCATTTGCAGTACTGCTGCTCAGGGTTGGGATCATTCGAACGGCGAGACAGGCCACGCCGACGTCTTGTCATCGACGAAATACAGCAAAATTGGCTGTGCAATTTCCGGCACTGGGGTATGGGCTTGTGACCTTGCATGAGGGTAGCACTGCGGTATGGACCTGCGCTGGGTCGGTTATGACCGGACAAACGTACTACCGATCCCGAGGATGCCACCAGGATCTTCTTGCATGGGTTTTTCATTTGTGTTCTTCGTCAACCTTTTATTTCTTATCGAGAAGTCATGCCGATTGGAAAGGGTTGAAGAAGGTTGCCTGTTGGAAAGACAGTCGGCGCAAAGCTCCCTGGGCTCGTCTCTCAGAACGGACCTGGTGGAGCCAAGCGGGAAATTTATGAATCTTCATTGCATCAAATTTTATTCTCCTCGATGTCTTCTTGATACGAGCCCATGAGCATGAGCTGTTTTGTAGACAAAGCTTCAAAATCTGACATGCTCCTTTTTGCGCATTTGGTCTTAAAAACTGCTCGATGAAGCGTGTCACGTGCACCGCCCGTTCACTCCGTCAGCCCCGTTCAGGGCGGCCGCCCGCGTCAGCCTTCCAGGCGCAAAAGGCCCCAGCTGGGTGCCTAGCTCGGCGGTTGCGAGTGACGCCATTGCCTCGGGGCGCGGCAGGAACGCGGTCCACCATTTTTCAGCTCTCCCAGGAGCTCGCGACTTCTCATCGACGTGGCGGTGTCCAGCACGAATTGCAAGCACAGCTGCAAAGGACGATCCTTCCATGTACGAGTACTGGGTAGTGCCTGTGTGCAGCTAACTCGCCGAGGTTGGTTGGCTAGTGACAAGTCTGCAAGTCTAGTCTGCGCGTTCTTTGAGGATTCGTTCCAAGTTTCAGTCCTCGAGTGACTTTTGACGGTCCCTATCAACCGCCCGCCATGTCTGCATTTTGACGCTTCCTCGAATCTTCCCGCTTCATGATCTGACCTCGAAGTCCACTTCTTCTCATATACCCCAAGACATTCCTTCCAAGTTCAACTCGCTCCCGGTGCGGCGATCACCTCGCCCCTCCATCTCCTCCCGCCGCTCTCTGAGCCCGTGCAAACAACTCTCACCTGGCGAGTGAGAGAGAACCGGCCACCAAAAGATGATGGCACACGCGATAATGAGCCAAACGCTCCCGGTGCGTGCGGCAGGAGGTGGACAACCGTCAGAGACGGCCGCGCACTTCGCCCTCGAACCCTTTTCTCAGCCTGTACTGTCACACCTCCTCTCAGCTCGCAAGGGCGCCGAATCACAAGATGGCAAGAAGTTCAGCGACGAAGGCGCCTGGTTGAATTATATGGCCTCGGACTCGTCGAATGCGATGTCGGCTCCCGTGGACAACGACCTGAAGTACCCCATGTCCTCCTACTTCATAAGCTCGAGCCACAATACCTACCTCTCAGGCCACCAGCTCTATGGCGAAGCGTCCGAGCTCGCCTACACCAATGTGCTCAAGCGCGGGTGTCGATGCTTGGAAATCGATGTGTGGGATGGCGAAAGCGATTCGGACACCAGCAGCTCCGACGACGACGAGGAAAAGTCTGAGACAAAAGCCTCTCGCTGGGGGAAAGTCAAGGCTCGTGCTGCACGTATGCGTTCACGCTCACGATCCGCCTCGCTCGCGGCCGCTCGGCCAGATGGCGGACAGCCCCCTGTGCCCTCCGACCAGCAAGCTTCGGCGCCATATGGTCGACCTGATAATGTCGCATCACCGCGACAGACGGAGCCATCGGCGAATGGCTCCAACTACCTCTCCCCACAGCCTTCGCCGCCGCTAAGTGCCAAGGCCGAGCCGAGAGTACTGCATGGATACACACTGACCCAATCCGTCACCTTTCGCTCTGTGTGCCATGCTATCAGGTCTTCGGCTTTCGCGAGCACGGATTTGCCTTTGATCGTCTCTCTTGAGGTTCACGCCTCGCTAGAACAGCAAGAGGTCATGGTGGAGATCATGCGCGATGTCTGGTCGGAATATCTGGTGTCGCTCAAGAGTAGCACCGAGATTTCCGCTCTTCCGCCGCCCGAGTCCCTCAAGGAAAAGATCCTGATCAAAGTCAAATGGACGCCGAACACGGAGACGGGCGAGTCTAACGATCCCATCGAGCACGTGAATTCGAACTCCACCGACGGCACCGCCGATTCGATACCACCTTCCCCCGAGAAACGAAAGAAGGCTTCCAAAGTCCTGTCCAAGTTGTCGGAACTAGGAGTGTACACTCGCGCGTACACATTCAAGCATTTCTCGCAACCCGAAGCTGCTCTTCCAAACCACGTCTTCAGCTTGTCCGAGAACAAGGTCCATAGTATGCGTTCCGACCCATCGCACGGTCCTGCACTTTTTGACCACAACAAAAACTTCCTCATGCGGGTGTTCCCGAAAGGCACGCGCATCAACAGCTCGAATGTCGACCCGACGTTCCACTGGAGAACGGGCGCCCAGATGGTGGCCTTGAATTGGCAGAAAATGGACAAAGGCATGATGCTCAACGAGGGAATGTTCGCTGGCACGGGTGGTTGGGTCCTCAAGCCGGAAGGCTATCGCTGCACCACAGCGAGTGACAAAGCACAGAAGCCGCTTCAGTCCACGAAGCAACTTGTCAACCTGGAAATACGCTTGCTCGCAGCACAACGCTTGCCCTTACCCGTCGACAAGGACAACTCGCATGCGCACAAGATGAAACCATACGTCAAGGCACAGTTGCACGTGGATCCTCCCGGCTCTCCCGGTCAGTGCAGGGAGAGCGACGGGGACGGGAATAGCAAGGACGACTTTCAACCACACGGCGGTGAGGAGAAGGATTCCCACTTCTACAAACGGAGATCAGCTACGGCTCGCACGGACTGTCCCGATTTCAAGGGTGAAGTGCTGAGCTGGCATAACACGTCCGACGCCACCCAACAATTGAGCTTCCTCAGGTACGTGTCTCTTTCATTTTCACCGATATACACGTTCGGGCTGGGCTCGGGATTCCCCTCCACCGCGACGAAAAGCGATGTGTGACCCCAAAGAGCACTACCGGCCTGCATTGGCTAGAGCCCGGTGGCCGGAACGCGTGTGAGATTCGAACTTTTGCACAACATTTTCACTGCAAGTCCTCGCATCGTCTGACAGGGCTTTGCGTGTCCTTCCTGCCGGATGTCTTGTCCACGTCTCCACTCGACCGTCTCCTGAGACCAAGGAGCTCTCGTGAGGCTCGACATCCAGAGAAGGACCGTAAGGCTGGCAATCAGGCTGAGATGTCGGACCACGCGAGGCTCCGTCCATGTCCACCATGACACGGGGGTTCTAAAGACTGCAGGTTCGGACACGAGTCAGGAGCGCCGGCGGAGACCACAACCCTCGGGTGGAAGACGGTGGTCTCACACTCGGCCTTGTCAGCCCAGCAGAGCGGGTCAAGGACGCCTGCAGTCTTGTGCAATGCTGATCGATCATCCATGCACGATCGTGTTACACAACGCTGCGTCTGGGCGATACACGCCCATCAACCTGTCCACTCCTGCCACGGGGTGCCTCCGTTTCATGTGACGTGTCATATTGTACCGTGGTCATCCTTCTGAGATCGTTTCTGACTCCTTGCATAGGCTTAAAATCATGGACGACCGCTCAATGGGCAAAGACAACATGCTCGCATGGGCTTGCATACGACTTGACCGCCTTCAGCCAGGATACCGGTTCGTCCATTTGCTCAATTCGTCGGGCCTGCCATCTCCCGGCGCGTTGCTTGTGCACGTCTCCAAACGCGTGGAATGAGTGGTTAGAATCCACAAGCGAAGTTGAGGCCCTGGCTGCCTTCCCCACTCACGCACATACTGCTCCTCCCTGTGGAGCATTATCATTGGGCAAGGGTAAGTTGACATCAGGCGACACTGCTTCACAATTCGGTTCATCATAGCAGGGCTGCTCAGTCGGCGGCAGTACGTATTCGTGTATCAGCAGCGTAAAGAGCGCAAGCCGCTCCACCGGCTCCTTGGCCTGACCCGGAGCGAATCTAATCTGCAGAGCTGTGTTACGTTGTGATACGCCTCGATTCTACACAACCAGAGATATCGGAATCTAATTGCCCTCCCCCGCCTCGACAGCCACTAAAAGGATGGGCAGCTAAGGCCCTGCTTATGTCGACGTCCCCGGAGTTCGCTCCCGTGTCACCGTCTTCTTCAGTTCGCCCCACCCTGCTTGGCAGTGGAGTGACTCGTGAGGAGTACCACAGTTTTCACGCAGTGCAGCTCCAGCCCTGGGGTGCTCGTGCGAAAGGACTGGTTCGTTTGGGCCTAGGTGTGCTTAGTGGCCACGATGGCGGCGACCAGCTGCGAGATTCGAGCAATTGGGTCGCGGCCGCAGTTGGTTGGTCCTTTTTGGTGCCGTTCTGAGCTCCCGGGCGACGGAAAGCCTGAAGAAGCCAGTATGCTTTTCGACAGGCGTGATCGCGTCCCTCTCGGATCACCCGCTGGTGGCTCTGACAGCTTGCAGGAGGTTGAACTGACTCTGTCAAAATCAATCACTTGGGTCAGATTGGCCCGCGAAGGGCGGAACAAGATGCTACGGGTCAAACACATCCATCTCGAGTGCAACACACCGCCACCCTGGTGTAACGGCATCCTGCTCACTGTCGCAGAACAAACTCAGAGAAAAGAAGTTCAAAATGCCGTCCTACCGGCTCGGCACAAGCTTCCATCGAGCGATAAACTCAGCAGCCCCGATTGATCCGACCCGGGGACAACCGGCTTCGTGCGAATCATGCATGTTGGGGCTCCCAGGGAAGAGTGGATCTTCCTTGAGGCTCGCTTGTCCACGCAGACGCGTGGTTCTACGGACGCATATGGCACTTTCGCGAACACAAGATCGCGTGGCTATGGTCGTAGAGGGAATATAAGTCGGCCAAGGTACGCGGTGAAAGTCCGTCTCCCAACTACGAGTCGAACTTTGGCAAACCCTCCGGGCGACGTTCGAACCACGACGTTTCGCTTTGGCGCTTACCCGCGTGACACCTGTGCCATGAAGTTCACGATTTTGCATACGAACCGTAGCCTCCCCGACCAAGGAGGTGCTCCGAATCCTAGAGCGCGACCCAGCGATCATGCAAATATTCAGACTCGACCGGTAGGAGACTTCACAGTGCTATCGATGGGCCAGAACACTGACGAGGTCATGGCCGAAGATGAATGGAATACGATGCCCTCGCTGCAAAGACAATGGCCAAGAAGTCTGGGTTATACCGTAGGAAAGAATCCCCCGGCTTCTCAGTGACGATTAGCCATTATCGTCAGGGCCTGACATTCCCGAGACGGGCTGACCGACGATTGCAGGGGAACACGATGCCACAAGTGCGGCCATCCCTGTTGAGGGCGTAGAATCGGCTTTTAGCTTTTGAGGCTACAGCAATGGCGCCTCGAGCTTTTCCACCTCGTGGTCGCGGTCCACCGACCACAGGGAAGCTGTCTGAGGACCACAGGGAGCACTCCTTTTCTGGGCTATCAGCCAGGATGTATGCAAATGGTGGGAAACAAACAGGTTAGAGCACACTAGGGTTGATCATGATGAGCTGCGTCGGGGAAATTTTCTCCTTGCGGGCTCAGATCATTTATTGCATTGAGATCAGCAAATGACAAGCATCGGGTAGAGACAGGGGACTTGTTCGTTGTCCCAAGCTTGCGTAGGCCGGGAAAGACCTGGACGGGAGTCGCTGACTGCTGACTCGCGCGAAGCGAACACAATGTGGTAGACAAACATGCTGGAGTCGCTCATAGAAACTTGCCCAAAGACGACTTGCTGGGGTACTTGTAGATTGGAATCATCACCCCGCCGTCCGCGAGCTGGGCTCTAAGAGACGAGAAGGCTCGAGTCACCCACATAAACACGAACGCCAATGCATCATGCCAGATGCCAGGGAAGCTGACCGCGGCAGAGGGCAAGGAGGGACATGTGAGGGACAGATGAGGGACAGATGAGGGACAGGTGAGGGACAGGTAAGGAACAGGTAAGGAACAGGTGAGGGACGGATGAGGGAGTGATGAGGTACTCGGCGCCTAGTCATGTACAGCAGCAAAAGCATAATGGACTGATTCACACTAAGCCGCTACCGCCGGACCAATCACCATCCCGATTACCAGTGAAAAGCTGATCTGACGACCCCACCATCAGCGCAGAGGCTCGTGCTGCTCACGCTTCGTCTCTCTCAGGCACACAAGACACAAGACACGCCCCTCTCGAACACTGCAAGTTCCCGTCGTTGCATGACCTCCCCCAATCCTTCCCTGACGAAGCCTGATCTTGTTCTTTTAGAGGACGCCATTGGCGCTTCTGCGTCCTCGAACACGCACATTCGTCTCAGGCATCTGTTCACCGTCTTGTACGGATAGCCTTGTGCACGATAGAGTTCACGGCACGCATCTTCGCACTCTCTGATTTGCGACACTCGAGAATCGGAGCGCAAGTCCGCGTCAGCTCGGCACGCAGCCGACTGCGTTTCCATCGACTATCAAAGCATCATTTCCGAAGCAGGACGTGCTGAATCGATGCTCATGATCTCAATGCGGTGATTGCCTGCTTGTCTTCCTCGTGCTCTGAGGGATACGAGTACCCCGTCTTCACATCGGTTATCAGAAAGGGCCCCAACACTGGCCCCTGCGGCCTAAGCACCACGGAGGGAAGACTTCCACCCTCCTCGGGCCTCCCTCCTAGACTCTACTCCGCCTTTGTCCGCTACGAGCACATGCGCGTGAACAAACCACGGAAGGAACTTTTGAACATCTCCACGCCCGTGCGAACACCCGAGCGGCCATGCCGCACGGCCTTCTCGGATAACACGCGCCATGTCTAACCCCAAAATTGTCCTGTACGCCGAAGCTCTGACCCACATCAGGCAGTTGACGCTCCATGCTTCCCTCCAGACCGAAAAGAACGAACACACCAAGATTCTCTTGTCTTCTGACAAGAAGATTATCACAGCACTCCACGACCGGGAATCGTCCAGCATCTATCTACCGACGCAGATATCAGGCACCGCTCATTTCACGTTCCCGATTGAGAAGAGGACGGAGATATCGACTCGATTGCAAATCGATGATGTCAGTCAGCTGGACTCTGCAAAAGAGGACGCCGATGGCGTGGAGGTCCCGTGGTCTGCAGGCAGCCTGCAGGAAAACTCTTCGTTGTACTGCAACCAATGCGATGCCTGCATCCTTACAGCGACCAAAGCCATCAGCTGGAAAGACCTTCCCAGTGAAAATTGGGCAGAGTTAATGGACTTCTGGTTCTGCCACAAGCCACATGAGAACGGAGAGCCGTCAGGCGAGCATGCAGCGGAGGTCAAAGGCTTCTCTGCACGGAGTAAGCTCGCTACGAGCCCTGGAGTGGGCTTGGTGGATATCATTTCTTTTCTGCTCTGTGGAGAGGACTGTACAAACGTCGAGGTAAGTTATGACCACAGCCGGATCCCTGAAAGCCACAACCTCCCACATTTGGCGTAAAGAAAGAAGCTTTTCAGGTCTTTAGACCAAGAGTCTGTTGATCTAGTTTCTGATACATTCGCCGCATATCGAATACGTGATTGGTGGCTAGCAAGGTAGATCCAACCTCCTTCTGGTGGAGCGACGGATGGGTCTACCAAAGCGTACCAAATAAATCAGCCTCTTCATTTCGTCTTTGCGCCCGTGAGCTGCATCGCGCGAGGGGATACACCAGAGGTACAAGCCAGCTAATGACACACCCAGGAAATCAAGGACTCCTCAAGAGCCGGTGTCACTACTCTTCAATGTAGCTCGTGCCAAAGCAGGCTGGGCTCCCGTGCAGAAGGGGAAGACAGCTATAGACTCTACAAGTCAAGGTTAACCCTCGTCAGAGAGCCGGGGCTGCCGCCGGAGAGATATGCCGCCGCCGTTTTCATCACGGCGCAGCTTCTGTCCTTGATTGAAAGCTCCGTTTCGCGCAAGGTGGTTGTTCATGCCGACAGCCCTGCAGAAGCTGAGTCCGAACATGCAGGTCTTTTGCTCTGGATATTTAACCCGGACATCTATTATTCTAGCAGCAAACGTGGACCGACCGCTCATCGAGCGATGAAGGTCTTTTACCGGGCCATATCGGACCCCGAGAAATTCCTAGACACCAATGGGGCACATCATGAAGAGCTTGTTGTGCCCCAAGAAGACTTTGCGGGCTTCAAGCAGACCCTGGAAGAGAGCACTGAGATCCTCCCATATTCAGCGCGAACTTTCCAGGATTGGAAGGTCGGTCTTCTCGACCGATGGGAAAAGACAGCTACTGGGTCGGCACGAATGGACGAAAACCCACTGAATAAGAAAGTCGAAGAAGGTTTCGAGCTGTTCAAGCTGCCCGCTGGAATGCAAGAGCTCTACCTCTGAGCACATACTAGCCGACCCAAATCCACCAATCAACGATTTTGTCGACGGAGTGGTCGGCGCATGTCTAGAGTAGAAGCAAACCTCGATTCCAGTTTAGACGTCCTGCATGTTTGGGCCTTTACACCCTTTACGAGTGTCAGTCAGATGCGTCGCATGGTGACTGGAGCTCTTCTACCCTGCCAAGCTGCCTTGACACAACGACTGCGCGCCACGAAAGCTCGTTGCCACTAACGCCGAAGCTCAGAAGTCCCATGATCCTGCCTCTAGCCCGACAGGCAAGGTGCCCTTCAGCGATTGTTTTGGTGACATGCCGCTTGGTCACTTGTCAGGGCCCAACCACGCCCGACGCCGAAGTGGATGCTATGCACAATGATGGAATGCCGCCCATACCCATCGGATGGACCAAGCGGGGGTTTATATTTGTCACGTACGCTACGCCGACACGTTGGGCAGCCATTGCAAGTCCCCGAGGGCTCTCGTGTTCTCAGTTTCAGTGGTGCTCAGTTGTACCGCTCGGAGTCATTCTTCGTACTAGTGCAACGCGTGATGAGTCAATATGCTACAGCATGATCTACCATCTCCACGTGAACCTCCCGTCACTAGCACCGCTCAGGTTACCTCCCTCTGCTAGCGGCATGTTTCTCTACGGTGGTGACCAGCCTTTGCTCATGGCATACCTCCCTCCTCGAATCACGATTTCGCAGCTTCCAAATGGGTATTCTAGCGGCCTTCGTCAGGTAGCGACATCTGGGGGTGACGATCAAGCTAACAGTTCCTGCCACCCGCTTACCCTGCAAGGACAAGCTGGGCTTCACAGGGGTGCAGCAGATGCGAAGCACTACTAAAATTCCGCCTTCTGCGCTTCGCACTAGAAGGTAGCCGTCGCCTACAGAAAAGACGGCCTTCTTGTGTGAAGGACAGGTGATTCACACCGATACAATAGAGTACCTGTTTGGGACCGTTCGGAGAGAACCATCCAGCAACGTTCGAGATTCCATGCCCTCTCGACGTAACAGCTCGAAAGACCCGAACAAAGGCGTTGCTCAATAAGTTTCACCAAGCTGGGCATCCTCTATCCAATTATCTTGGAGTCTGTGAACCCTTCAGTCCCCAAATTGGCCTTAGAATCCTCCCGGCGAACGCGCCCCAGAAGTGAGATGTATTCACTGTGGAGGTAGCAGAGGGACATGTCTGACCTCGTTACACAGGGCAGTCGCTGCTTGATTGCAGAGTTCTCATGTCAAGCAAAGTTGTGTGCTTCAAGCCACCCAGATCTTGGTCTTTGCCAAGAAACTCGATACCGATGTGGAGATAGATCACGTACGGCATTGTCGTGAGCAGCGCATCATTGGCGTTGTATAGCTATAAATCCCCAGTATCACTGCAGTCCCTTGATGAATACACAGTACCTGTCGGCCACTGCGTCCGTCCGATTGTGTAGCCGGTCTGACGTCGGCTCACCTTCCCCATTCGCACCACCGGCCAAGCCAGTTCCGGAAGTGCAGCTTTCCCTGACCCCGACATCAGGTCAAATCCGCAGAGAGCTCAATTGAAGCTTGTTGAAGCATCGACGACGTTGGTCTTTCCCAATAACTGAAGCTCACTGTCAGCATGAGCGCTCTTCGGCTATCGCGTGCAGCCCTGCGCGCCCGGTCAGCGGTTGCTTTCAAGCCCGTTCAACGCAGAGGCTACGCTGATGCCGTCTCGGATAAAATCAAGCTCTCGCTGGCACTGCCTCACCAGGTACGTCCGAGAAACAGATTCCCAGAGAGCGAAAGGGGAAGATGCTAGATTTTGAAGAGGGATCGAACTGACACGAAATCTCTAGTCCATCTACACCTCGCAAGACGTGTACGTTCTCCCTTTTGTCCCTCGACGACTCCTTGTCCCACCAATTCACGAAGCCCGCTACTGACCCGCAGAGCACCAGTGTACAAGTCAACATCCCCGCTGAGTCCGGAGAAATGGGTATCCTCGCACAGCACGTCCCGTCGATTGAACAGTTGAAACCCGGCTTGGTTGAGATCATCGAGGAAAGTGGTGGAAGCAAGCAGTTTTTCCGTACGTTGTGGCTCTCATGGAGCACTCCTATTCAGAAAATGCGAGTCATGAGCAGGGATACTGATGTCGGTACAGTCTCTGGTGGCTTCGCTGTTGTCCAACCAAATTCCGTCCTGAGCATCAACGCGGTGGAAGGCTTCCCCTTGGAAGAATTCAGTGAAGAGGCGGTCAGGTCACAGATACAGGAGGCGCAGAAGGTTGCCAGCGGAAGTGGCAGTGAGCAGGACATTGCAGAGGCCAAGATCGAGCTTGAGGTAAGAGATCGCTACACTCGAGGATATGAGTCGATGACGACCGTGGGCTAACTATATCATCTACAGGTGCTGGAATCGTTGCAGGCGGCGCTGAAGTAAGGTGCAAGTCCATGCCACTGTACATATAGAGTAAGGCCGAGGCAGACAAATCAACGGGGCTCGCATCAGGTCTCGCTCAGAAAGACTTGAATTGAATCCATTGCATGTGCCATCTGATCCCAGCCAGCGTCAAGTTGGTCTCTGCTCTTGCTCCACGCGCTTTCCATGAATGCGCCTGCTCTGCCGCGTCCATGGCTCCTGCTACAGAAGTCGAGTAAGGGCAGATCTTTCCTTTCCGCTCAGTCTTTCATGGCGCAGTTACTCTCTCTGCTGAACTTATTCTTATAACCCCTCGGTGCGTGGTGACCATGATACGCCCCATATTGACATAGCCTTCCACTCATCTGCCAACATGGATAGCTCACTTGTGTTTGTATACCCTTCTCGGATTGTTCTCCCTGCTCTGCTAACCCCGTTGCAGTCCGCAGAGGCGCAAGGTAGCCGACCGCATCCGAGTGTTCCAGGACGTGCAGCAGCTCGAGACCAGGATCCCGTCCTTCCAATTGCCTCCTCGCGTCCTCACACAAGACCAAGACTCTATTGCCAATCCTGGCTCTGACTGGCCCGCGAGCCGAGTAGACAGCGATGAAAGCGAGGATGTCCGTGGCAATGGAGTCCCTTCCGTCGCTGAAATACTCTACCAGGACGTTCGAGACCTAGAGAAGCTGGTTGACCAAGGAGATCCACAACACCATCTCCCGTTTCGACCTTTCACGAGTATGGACGGACCTGGTGATGAACGAGGCTTGTCCCGGCGGGGCACCGAGCGTCAAGCCAGCCTTCAACTTGGTCGACCAAACCGCTCGATGGAGAATGTCGCCGAAGACCCGGCACTGGAGATTGCAATGGCAAGATCTCGCCTTCGGTCAATTGCTGCTCCCAAGCAACAACCTGCCCAAAAAGGGCTAGGGACGTCACGTAGCCGGCCGCTCACCATGGACGAGCTGAACACTATGCTGGACGACGCCATCAAGAGCAACTCTCCCAAACCTGAAGTGTCTTCCGACGAACAGGGCGCCAACCTTGCCCCGAAGCCTGGGTTTGTCCTTCGTCGAGCTTCCACTCGCCAGGACCGCCGTCGCTCGCAATCTCGGGCTCGCGTTTCTCGGAGGACCACCGAATCTGTCGAGCCACGCACCAGCGACGAGTCTACAAGAGTCCGCTACGACGGAGATGAGGGAGCACGAACCCAGGAAGATGCTGCACGCCGAGACACTCTCAAGTCTACATCTCCTGCTGCTCCAAGACTGAAACCGGTTGCGACCCCGGTCACGGAACTAAGCCCAGTCAAACAACGAGCTGCCATCTTCGAAAGTCTAACCAAGAAAGCAGAACCATCAGGTCATGACTCCATCTGTCGCCATTTTGGCCACGACCATGATCCGACACATGACCATACTCATCACCATGCTGGACCCACCCGCAAAGAGCCAAAGAAGGTCCACCGGATCAAGTTTGGAGACAGAATCGAGGAGAGACCCGCCACGCCCTTGATACCCTTGAATCTACCCGCGATGGTAACGAAAGAGAAGACTACTCGACCGCTGCCTCCACCCGAACGGGAGGAAGAATTTCAGCCTCCCCTCGATCCGCCAGCGGAAGAGCCCAACCAGGACGATGTGTTCAAAGAGGAAGCTCAAGATCGGAAACCTTCACTGACCTGGCCTTTCAAATGGGGGCTTTTCAGCAAGGGGGCGTCCGCACCACCCCAAGAGAGTGAACCCTCTACTCCGGCTGTGGTCGAGCCCAAGGACCAACACTATCCGACAACGCGGCCAAGCGTGGTTCGAAGCAAAGTCCAACAGATTCTACAGGCCGTGGAGCAAAAGGATGATGCAGAGCAGCGACGTCGAGAGGCAGAAAGAGAACGTATTACGCGCAGAAACAGTCGTGCTGCACCCCCGTCTCGACGACAGACTGTCGTAAAGCGTGTTGAACCCAAGCAAGAGGTGACCACTGAGCCAGCAACAATGGAGACTCCGCAAAGGGAACAACTTCAGGGTCTCAAAGCTGCAGCGGGGCCCGACACAAAGACGAAGACTCCTCTTCAGAACGCCATGTCGGAGAAGCAGGTATTGGCACCTCCTGTCCGCGCCGAACAGGACAGCGACTCAGCTGCCAGTCCACCAAAATCCCTCCCTCAAACTCCGGTCCGGGGAAGACCAAGTCTTGCGTACCAAACACCGGAGCAGAAGCACTCGGTGGAGCGACAATTCAACCTCAGCCCAACCCGCAGCGCTTCGAAGCATCGCCAGGGTGTCAAGGTTGAAGTCGAGATCCGTGACAGTCCGGAACGGGAGGCCAGGGAGAGAGGAGAAAAGATTGTCATCATCAGAGCGGGTGTGGGCTCGGACATGGATGAGGGCACATGATGGCGAAGCATGAATACGACCTCTCCAGGTGTGGCGTACACCGATTGTAGAGTCAGATGATTATGAGATGGCAATGCATGGTAGAGCGGTCAAGAGAATACCTGAGGGAAGAAGCTTGTGGTGCAGAGGATGGGGAAATAGAGCCGTGTTGACGACTCATTACAGAGATGAACCGCTTGGTATAGGTAGAGTGAGTTGTGTCAATGAGCATGTCGTACTCCTTTCGAACAGTGACATAATAAAGACTCATTACAGGGATAGAACCGTCTTGTATAGGTAGAGTACATTGTGTTAATAAGTATATTGTACTCCTCGCGAACGGGGATGTAATAAAGACTTATTCCAGGGATAGAACCGCCTTAGTATTGGTAGGGTGACTTGTGTCAATGAGCATTGTCGTACTCCTTTCGAGCAGGGGACATAATGGCGAGTAGCAGCCATAATACATTCATGGAGACAACAATACCAGTCGGTCAAGTACAGTATCTGGCGGGCCTGTCATTTATATGCCCCATCACACACAACGACATCTCTCTCCGTTCATTTTTGGTGCTTTGAAACAGATTTCTCGCCCTGATTTATCTACGTTCCTGGCTGCTACTGCCCATCCGTCGACGACGCCCTTTGCAAAGGGTGGGTTCTTCTCGAAATCAGTGTCTCTCTCTATCTCAGAGTACGATCTCCTATGTACTTAATTACTTCAAGTCTCTCATGTTCGGTCTCCCTTTGTAACTTACTTCCAACGTCTCTCCCCTACGTCAAGTACCCTGCCCTGCCCTGCCCTGCCCTGCCCTGCCCTGGCCTTAGTCCGTCTCCTTGAGAAAAGAAAAAAACACCTAAGCTAAAGCTAAAGACATGCATGGGCGAGAGGTGCCAGACCACTGCCACAGAAATGAAGCAAAACTACGCGTCTCTTGGCCAGCCGGGGGGCGCACTCGATCGCCAAAATTCCCATTCTGTTTAATTTTTTCTTTTTGGGGACTCCCGTGTGCCGGCATGCCGGCATGCCACCATCCATCGAGATAGAATACCCATCAAGTACCCAATAAGCATGTCTACGGGCGTAGTCGGTACATAGTATGTCGTAAACCCCGTATATACTACTACGTAATGATGAAGCTAACAATGACGCGCGGGTCGAGAAAGGACAAGGACATTGGAAAGTGGGCACTAGCTTCCGGCCACGTGAGTCATTTTATATATACAGACATCTCTGGACGACGAGGCATTCGGTGTGCAAGACACAAGACACGCAGTACATAAGAATCATAGAGCAGGGAGACGAGGGAGAGGATCAGCCGGCATCTCTGCCCCGGTCGTCAGGTCACAGCAGAGGGCACAGTCCTCGAACAAGGAGGCAGGGGGAGGAACTCTATCGAGGGCACGACGGATGTGATCTGGCAGAGCGATCATGTCGGTTCGCACAGTCAAACGGCAAACCCAAGAAAGACGGAAAAATGTGTGGGGAGATGGATGTGCTGTTGTAATCCTGTGTCTATCAAACAACCATTGATGTCCCACCCCGATCCAAACGCTGCATTCTCCTAGCAAGAGCCATTCGACATTGGTGTGAAATGAGCAGATAGAACAACAGATTGTGTTGGATCAGTCTTATAAGTCCCCTAGCGGTGCTGGGGCTTCCCTTCCCTTCTACCATTCCCAATTCCATTTCATTCTTTTCCCTCCAGCTGATTGCTCAGTCTGTCTCAGTATCTCTGAAACCTGTCCTCTCGAGAGGAGCGAAAACAAGGTCCATATCATCAGGTCGTTACAGAATTGCCAACGTCATCAACAACGCCTCCACTCTCATCTCAACACCTCCATCTTTTTTTGTGTGTTTGTCAGACGGGTGGAGTAGTGAAAAAATCCCCAAGGGTAAAAAAGTTCGGTTTCGCTGCAGAGAAACGCTAAAGTGTTACAAGTGGAGGCGATACCTCCTGAGACCGACGAAAAGCGCCGCAGCTCGGGTGGTGCGCCATCAACATCTAGTTGCCCATGTCGTAGTCGATGAAGTCGCTGTCGTTCCAGGCTTGGTCGAACATGGGGTCGTTGTCGAGGGTAGCAAACGCTTCAGGACCGCCAGGGAACAAGGTGGCAGTGGCTGCAGCAGGATTGGAGAAGGCCCTGCTGCTCTCACCTCCGAACAGTGAGAAATCGTTCGAGGGGAAGTCCGTATCCGCGTTGAAAAGAGGCGCGTCGTTGAAGGACTGCCCGGAAGGTCCGGCAACCATAGGGGAGTGTTCGGAGATCGACGGGTTGCGAGAGTTTGGTTGGAAGTAAGAGTCCGGCGTTGGCAGACCTTGGTTCCAAGAGGTTTGGTTGTTGCAGTCCAACGTGATGTCCATCGCTCCGCTGTAGGGAGATGGCTCGGTGATGTTGCTATAGGCAGGTGTGATCGGGGTGGTCATCATGTTAGGATACTGAGCTGACGGATACGTGTTCTGAAAGGGCGCAGCATTGAAGTCGAAATCCTCTCCCAATCGGTTGTATGACGAAGCCGAGGACGGGGTGGTCCGCGGGAAGATCGGGTTCGAATATGTAACCGGGGTGGGGTTAAAGGTGTCGAAGCCGGTGAGTGGTTGCTCAAAGGGAGTCATCGCGTTGCTGCCTGGCATACTTCCAGCAATGCTTCCAGCAATGGAGCTTGCATCATCCCAGGTCCTGACAGAGACGGCGGGACTAGGGGAGTAATCCATGCTGGGAGTGCGAGGAGTTTGAGCTGGGGTCATCTTGGTGACAACCTTGTCTTTGCCCTTCGCACGTTCATAGTGCCATCCGTGCTTCTTTTCTTGGTGTTGTTTGCAATTGCTCTCGCGCTTGGTTCGGAATTCGCAGAACTCGCACTTGTAGTAAAGAGGATTCTTGGAGTGACGGTCATTGACGTGACGTTCACGCTCCTTCTCGGTCGGAAGGCCAAGCTCGTGGTATTTGCAACTCTCCTCGGGACACTTGAAAGGACGAGAATGAGTCTTCTCGTGTTTCGCCAGATCACACTTTCGATTGAAGATCTTGTCGCAGGTAGGGTCTGAGCACTTCATCTCGACTATCTCTGGGATGTAGCCCTTCTTTCTGCGAGCCATCGACCTGGCAACATCTTCATCAAGAGCATCACTGCTTGCTCTCTTCATGCCAGGTGTCGGTGTGTAGGGAAGACCAGTCCTGAGAGAGTAGCCTTTACCATTCTTCCAACGGACAAGCTCAGCCTCATTGCCAGTCTCTCCGAGACCACCCTCAAGGGTGACCTCGTCGTCGATGGAGTAAGCCATGTCGTCGTCCTGCTCAGCAGTACCCGCCTGCTGATCGCGGCTAGAAGAGCCGATGTGGGCTGCGAGGCGGTTGACTTGCTGGACTAAGTCGAGGAAGTAACCGTTGTCGTACGGACGATCAGCGGCACGACGTTGTTCTGATTCAGCGAGGTGTTGATATGTGTCGACAACAAGCTGGATAGTAAACTCGCCAAATGCACGATACAGTTGTCGTGAGATAGCAAGAGTCTTGGAATCGACGTTAGAGCCAGGTAGGCGTTCGGTGGTGAGGATGCTTACCAGTGGTTGGAAGATGAGGGACTGCTCGAGGTCACGCAGGCATCTGACAGCCTTGTTGTTCTTGGCGGCAAGGGCAGTGACAAGAGGATGGAAATCTTCGAAGCGTTCCTCGTGGAGGATGGGTGTGATTATATACTCCTTGATCTTTCGGCGACCCGAGGGGCTCAATGCGGGATGACGAAGAGTAGGTCGGGAGGTTGGAGGAGCGATGCTTCGGGTCACCGCAGAGGGTCCTGTGGTGCTAGAGGTCCTAGATGAGGGGTGACTGCCTCGTTGCCTAGTGCGGCGGGTTGTCGGCTCTGGAGAGTCAGCTTCTGTAGGAGGTTCGTTAACACTGTCTTTGCACATCAACATGCAGCGGGCAATCCAACCTTGAATCGCGTCTCGCACAAGACGGTCTTCTTCAGAGGTGTTTCCGGTGACCTTCTCTGCTGAGTCACTGATGGAAGTCCCCAGTCCACTATCCCGATTCGACAACAGATCCAAGGCTCTTTCGAACTTATTGGCCAGACCTTTATCACTTGCGGGGCTGACGGAGGAGCCTAACCCTTCGTCGGATGGCAGTGAGACGCGACGGACCCAGACCTGTTGGTCGAAAGTCTGAGTGGGACGGCGACGACTTGACGTCTTCTTCCCTCGGGCGCCAGAAAAGGTTTGTTCAAAGTTGGCGATGGACTGGGCGACGTCTTCCTTTTCCGACAGCCAGCTGGTGAGGGCGGACTGAGAGCTGGTTGGAGAACGACGAGTCAGGTGAGGGATGCTGAGGACCGGGTCATCCTCAGTGGCCGGCGAGGATGGGCAGTGGAAAGTAGCGCCCTTGGACAGGGACATCTTATGCAGGATGCATGCTGATGACTCTGCGGATGCGGGAAGAGATGGAGCAAGGCGCTTGGTGATGAGTCGAGGGGTTCGACGATGAGCGAAGGGTGTGGGAGGAGGTGGCATTGTGGAAGACGCCATGGTTGGTATATGTAAAGTCTCGAACAGGCCGGGGAGAGATGCAGATGACACGCAACGTGCTAGCTTGGGGTTCAGCACGCGCTCAATTGGCTGATCTTGAGCATCCCCTGTGACCTGTGACTCACCCGTACCGACAGACCCCAAAAGATATAAATCGAAGACGGAAGACGGACTGGACCCAAAGTCGACTCTACTCACAAGTTGCTGCTTGTTGATCCTTCTTTTGGACTGGTATGGTTGGGATTCTTGGTCGAGGGAACACTGTGTTGTTTGAATCGTTGGCTGGGATGTGACCAGCGCGTGTCGGGCGCAGTTAAACGATGGCTCGACTGCGAGTGAGGAGAGAATGCGGTGCCGGAGATGTCGGCAGGGACGGACAGGCCTTGCACTTCCCGGCGAGTGGATCTGAGAGGACGCCAGGTACTTTGATAGGCCGACTTGGGAAGGATGAGTCGCGCAGTGCACAGGTGTTCGTTGTAAACACACCAACGTGTAACCGCAATTAAGTTGGGATCGTGGTGAGGTACAAGTGAAAGGCTAGTGAGGTAGCGGTTGAGGTTCCGGGATGTGGAGGACGAGGTTCAACCTGAGGCCAGGTGGCAAGAATCGAGGATGGTGCAGTGTTCGTGGAGAGTGCCGAAACGGCTGAACTGACGGTCTGAGTGGAAGGAGAGATCGTGGTAGAGAGAAAGAGAGTGAGTCGAACGTGAAGGCGCTGAGGTGATGTTTGATTCCCAAGTCCCGCTGTTGCCTGGACTTGGCGACCAGGGTGTATCCACCACGACGACGTGAGTGGTTGAGCAGAAAGGGCTCTCTCCGCTTCCCTATCGTTCCAGTGGGCGGCACAGGGCGGTGCTGCGCCTTGCAACCAGTGGTCCGCCGCGCGTGCAGGGCCACTTTATAAGCTTCGCATATCTGGCTATCCAAGATGTGCACCCGTCACTGCCTCTTTATTCGCGTCGCTTATCCCTGCCGTCGGCCGTAACTCCTTTGCATCCGCGAAAGGTCCTTCTCCACGCGGTTGGCTCTTACACGGTACAGAGTACGTTTCCTGTACCTCGTACTTTTACGAGTACTGGGTACATACTTGGAAGTGACCTCTCACGTCTCTCGTGCTTCAAAAGGTCAAGTTGTGGACTCAGCCATTGGTTTCGAGGCATCGATACCTCACTCCTGCAGCGATGTGAAAGCCATGATAGGCCAGTGACGACTGATGACATATGCAAAGCCCTCAAGCCTGGTGAAGCTAACTATTGCTTACCAAAGGGAATGGATCTGGATTTCGTGAAGTGGAGTGCTCAATTCAGCCTTGCAACAGACGGAGCCGGCAACCGGCGTGAAATCATCCCGCTTTGAAAGTCTGCTCCATAAAGGGTAATGAATCATGATTCCCTCTTTGCAGTCAAAGTTGAAGTTTTCAATTCTGTGGCACGGGAGCGAGCTGTTGGTCTCTGATGCACCCATGGTTGGCACCGTGTCTACTTGGAAATCCGGTCGCCTGCTGCAGGCAACGGGTATCCAAAGCACCAAGTCGCGCTCCTGGGAGGAGACGGCCCCTGCAGAAGCGGGTGAGAAGGGGTGCGTCATGACCACATGGGGCGCCTGAAGTCCCTTGCACAGGCTCACAGCTTGCGGGTGGTACGGAGTATTCAACTCTCGTATCAGCCAACGGCGAAGTTTGAAGCCGCACCTTCTCGCTTTCACCGGTTACGCTTTTCCCAATGAGTCGAATCCTGCAATGAACACCTGGCCACCAGTGGCTGTCAAGCACTGAGCATAAGACACGGTGGCGATTTTCGCACGAAAGTTCCCCAGTGCATGAGGTAAGGTATTCCTGCATCTTCCTTCTGGAAACGCACACCCACATTACCCGGTTTGTGGCCAGCAGCAGAATGACCCTGCAGGTCACGGCCGTGAGTCACAGTCACGTCTCAGACAGGAAGACTTGCATCCTACGCGAACCACTGGTTTGCTCGACGGCGAAATGTGGCTGTGGCTATGTTTGTCATCGTATTCTCCGCCAATCGCATCTCATACTGTATCCGACCGAGCCTCGTTTCTGCCGCGCCCATCATATGATCGTCATAGGTCATGCAACACCATCATGCCTTCGGGACATTAAGGAATTAGTAGCCATCGTTGCTTCGGAGAACGAGGTGAGCTTCTATTCAGCGGGTGGACCACGGATATGTCATTCCGGCAAGTACATACTTATCTGAAATTCAGAGAGGTTCGCTCCCACGCGCTTCAAGGGGATTATTGTGTACCTGTCCGAATCCATCCCTCAATGCCGAGAATGCCTCCTCCTGGCTGGTGACTGTCCATGCTCCATTTCCGTACAGGCGCACATCCAAGCTCCGTAGAATATCCAGCCTCAAACATCTCAGACCCAGCCCACGCGATCATCGCCGCGTTATCTGTGCAAAATTCGACCGGTGGAAAAACCAGCTGCGTTCTCCCGAAAGATCGTCGATCGAGCAGCTCTCGCAGGTAGTATCGTAGGAAAGTGTTGGCCGCGACCCCTCCACTCACCACGAGGTGGTCAATCTGTATGCCTTCAGCGCGGAGGTTCTCCAGCGCAATCATCGTCCGAGAGCCCAGATGCTCGAATGCCGCGCCGAGCGCCGAGCGAGCCAGCAGAAGCCGTTCCATCTCGGTCATACCTCCTGCGATGCCGCGCGCGAGAATCAGACGTTTGACTTGGCTCGCGATGCCAGAGAAGCTGAAAGCCAGCTCCCTGTTCTGAGCCATTGGTGTGCTCAGGCCCCATCCGAACTCGTTCACCGGCTTGTCAATCTCTTCAGCACGCGTTGCAGGCACCCTCCAGGATGCAAAATCCCTGGGGGTCCTGAACGCGTATGCAGACAGGTACTTCCCGAATGCCGTGTCTGGCGTATCTGCCTGCAACTCCTTGGGCAAAATCAACCGCCCACACTTGTCCAGTTCGTCGCCAATTGCAGTATCCGTAGTGGTGGCCAGAATCTCATGGTCCACCAACCCTTTGGAGTGCAGCAGCATTGTATGACCGCCACTGACCAACAGTGTCAGGAACGGAAAATTCGGGCTGTGACCATGATGGTCGTGTCCGTCTTTGCCCATAGCACTGACGAGCCTTGGTGTCAGGGCATGCGCCTGCATATGATGCACCCCAACCATGGGGATCTGCCACGCTGTCGCCAGCCCCTTCGCCGTAGCTAGTCCCACTCCCAGACTCGCGGACATGCCTGGTCCGCGCGTTACTGATATGAAGTCCGGTTTTTGCACGGGACTGCCATCTCCCAGCCATACCGTCCTCGGGCCGACTGTGTCTGATACGTTCGGTAGGTATGGTAGCGCTGACTCGAGCAGCGTCGACAGATTGGACTGATGACTTTCGAGGGACTCGGTGGGAAGGATGCCACCTTTCCCCGTGTTCTTGGCCGTCACCTTCTCATTGAAGAGCAGATCTGCCCACACACCATTGTGTCTGTTTGTGGTCGAAAGGATGGAGACGCAGGTGTCATCGCAGGACGTTTCGATTGCAAGAGTGAGAAGGTTGCGCCGACGCGGCGACGTGCTGGCGGCGTGCCAACATCGAGAAGGAAGGGTCCTTATGCTGCGACAAGCATGCAGCATCGACAGTGGTGAATTAGACAACTGTGGTTGTGGTTACAAGCCATCAACGTCCTCTGACATTCGGAAATCCTGGGGTTACAGGCAACACGCACACTACATGTTTAACCGAAATAAGACCGAAGAATGAGCCGCTGAACTCGTCGGCAGTCCTTATTGCTACCCATATCAAAGAGCTGTACGGAGTACATAGTGCAGAGACATGAGCCATACAGTTGTTACACATCTAAGCCATCAGGGTTGATTCTGTCCTTAAAATAAGACACCTATTTTACACTTTACTTCTGCTGAGGATGGGGATCAATCTCGCTGCCCTTTGTTGGATGCACGGCCTCAGGCAGCGCCTTTTCGAGCTTCTCTGGTGCGACCTTCTGCACGGCTTCAGGAACGATACTCTCGCCCGTGGCATGGCTCTTGCCTCCACTACCAAAGCCTGCCCGGCTTCCCTCGCCCCTGGACTCTTCATGCTGACCGACTTTGCCTTCGACGAAGTTCGGGAGTGAGTCGTCGTTCTTGGGATGTTCAGATTGAGGCTTCTGTGCGTCGGCTGCTCACCCAGGATTAGCCTCCCAGGCACAGTTGGTGGGTTCACCCTCGAATACTTACACCGTTTATTGTATTGGTCCATTGCAGGTCCTGTGCTGGTGGCCCATCGTGGCCGGCTGGACACGAACGTCCGGGTCAAGGGCCTAGCAGCCTGAAGCTGGCTCTGGGCGCTGCGAACGAGGAATCGAGTATTCTGCATTGTGTCGATATTGCGGTAGTGATGGGAACAGTGTATCTACTGGGGATCACCTGAGTGTTCATTCTGGGTTATTATACATTGTACCCCCGTGTTGGCGGAGATGTCATGACATCAAGGCCACAGAAATGCAACATGGAGTAGTGATTCATGGAGTTCGGAAACGCCTCTCCGTGACTGACACTTGCATTGTCGCTCCACGATCGAGGACGCCTGCCTGTGAACAGGCGATGCGGATAATAATCTAAACTCAAAGACGTGCTCGATGACGATATCAATGTTCTACTCGTACAAGGGTCACGTCGGGGACTGTTGGCTCCGAAGAATTTGGTGCGCTCGGGCCCGAGTACCTTCTGTCGTCAGCGAAAGCTGTTTGCCCGCTCATTGACCATCTCACCGTGATGCTGCGACTCCCCTTTTGACATTGTGGCAGTGGGATTCCAGAAATATGTCGCACTTAACACTGGCCCCCCGGCGAACGACACAAACAGACTGTGTGAGAACCCAACAGAATAGCGAGATTAGCTAGTTCAGCCACCTGATTGAGAACGATCGTAGAGAGATAGGCTGACGGTGAGTTTTGCCAGAGGTTTGTGACCTCTCAAAAATAAGGATAGACTTGAACGGACTACGTGGTACGTGGAATTGGATGGTAGCTAGGTTTTGTTGCAAGAAGAGGCTGCTTGGTAAGGAGGATTTCACTTTGATGGAGTTTGATATTGCAGTACTGAGACAGCTATGGAATATAAACACAGGAAGCCACCTTGACACCAGCGCACTGTGGTGTGTTGCCTGTTACTAGGACGAACATGAGAAACACCGAACCATAATCACTAAGCACTTTTCCGACCCAGGGATAAAACCTCACGCGCAAAAGCATGGCGAACCAGCGAGTGGTAAAGCCCTCGGAGAACACCTTCATAGTGTTTGAACGGGCGTGTCGAAAATGTCGTTTCTCCAGCCACCTCCTCTTTCCTCTCCATCCTGGACCGCTTCTTCCGCCCTCAGAGCTTCTTCGTGCCATAGTTTGACAATGCTCCCCGGGGTGTACCGATTCTTGAAGACGCCTTGTTTCGGAGCATCGACACCAACGCGCGTGTAAAGGTCTGGGTCTTCCTCCGGCGTCAATCTGGCCATGACAGCTTTCAAAAACGTCACGACATCTTGTGGGTCTGCAATACGCGTCGCCCGCAGCCGTTCTCGGGCAAAGACCAGCTCGCGGTTCGCAGCGCGAAGGGCGTTGACAATGTTCTCAGCGAGCGCTTTCTCGAGTGAACGTCTGACGAGATGTTTGAGCAATGGCTTGAAGAGCCAACCCAGCCATGACAGCTTCGACTTGCGCAGGTCATAATCAAGCTTATGAATGTGCACTCTGACCCCGCGGAGAGTCAGGATCTGCTCGAGCTTCTCACGACCAATCTCGAGGTCAAGGGACACATCAATACCGCGCTCGTCGAGGTAGAAGCTCGCAATACCCTCGTCGGCAAAGCGGATTAGGCCTGCATGTCCACGAATCCAGAAGCCAAGGTCTTGCGCCGCAACGCTTAGGCCATTGATGGAGATAGTCACCAGGGATTTGGTCGTGGAGACGGTCTTTCTCGAGTGGGTCTTGCGAATTTCAATGTCATTCTTGGTGGAGACGAGGAGACGGTACGGCAAAAAGGATGTCGAATTGACGTTGCGGCCAGGCTCAAGTACCAGATTCTCCAACAGCAGGTCCATTTCCGGCACAGACACTTCCACGCGAGGGATCGGAATGTACTGGATACTGCGTATCAACAATGGAAGGAAGATGTGGATCGAGTCGGTGATCAGGTCAGGATTGGTGATTTTGTTCGGAGGGGTCAGAATGTTGTAGATGCGTTTTGTTGCCAGAAGGAGTCCATTGACATCTTTGTCTTCAATCACAGAATTGATGGTGACCTGTGCCTGTCTCAGCATCTTGTCGAAGTCCGTCCGAAACTCGGACTCATTGCCGAGCTTGCTGCTCTTCTCTTTCAGTTCCTCCAGTTTTTCATCTGCGTTGTCGAAAAAGTCGGGGTCTGTCAACATTCGTTGGACTGCGTTTCCAATCTCAACCATGAACTTTTCAAACTGGGGATCCGACTTCGCGTGAGCCATTACTTTGTTGAAGTCCTGCTCCAGTTGCTCCCACGCTTTGGGGTCACCAAAGCTACTGACAAAGCCCCAGAAGTTCCGCACTGCTCGGTCCAGAGCTGGGTTTGTGTTGACGTCCTCTTGCGCAGTTGCAACAGCGGTATCTGCGACGCGAGAGTACGCAATGGCATAACGCTGGATCAGCTTTGAGATTGTGGAGACAGAATCATTGTAGTCCGTCCTGCTCCTCAATCGAAGAATCACTTGCTTTATGCGGTAGAGCAACGTATCCTTCTGCGATCCACTAAAGTGTTCTTTGGCACTCTCAACCGCGTCCTGCCCGACCTTTGCCACCTCTGATCCAATCACTTTGGTTGTGTCTTCAGCGTTCTCTTGCAACTCTTGCTTAGAGGGCAAGCTGTTTTCGTCGGCTCCAGGCTTTGCAACTGTTTGCTGTTCCTGCTCAGAGAGTTCGAGCTGTTTGCCTGTCTTTTCCGCAGCCGAGGACAACGAGAACGCCGTGTCTGCTAGCACTTCCCTTCCAATGGTCGCGATGTCATTGACAAATAGTCTGAAATCGGCGTTGGTTAGAAGGAGACTGCCAACAGTGCGGAAGCTCTCGTAAGCGGCTTTCGCATCAGCCCGAGCTTTGACTTTTGACGCCGAGTAGGCAATGTCATCGACATCGACAGATATGCGAGACTTTGTAGTGTACCAGATAAAATCCTGGATCTCATCTTGACTATTCTTGTTCTTCAAGAGCTCGATGAAAAGCTTGATCCAGCTTCGACAGTTCCGGATAAGGGCCCGACCTGAGTCACTTAGATCTTTGTTGTTTGGATTGAGGACGTCCGAAGCCAGTAGCGTCCGCAGGTTGACGATGGTCTGCTCGTTGGAGGGCATGTAACCTTGGGAAAGAGCTCGCAGCATCTGATACGTATGCAGCTTCTGGTGGAGAGCTCTTTCACGAGCGGTGTCGTCCTCGTAGCGTGGGAGTAGGGGCTCTGTGTCGTCTCCTCCTCGCTTGCGGCCATAGCCGCAGCATCGAGCTATGAAGGACATCCTGATTCTTTCGTCGTCCACTAACGGCACAGCCGAGAGTGAGGTCTACCTGCCTGAAGGAGTTGAAAGAGCAGAGGAAGGTGTGCTGAAGGTATTGTCAAGCTGGCAGGCAGCCATCTGAATTTTAAAATCCGGAAACTGCAAACCGCAGGACGTAATAGTGAGGAGAGCATGAGACTGCGGTACGAGTTACACGAGTCTCGTCATAGCTAATGTTTCCCACCAATCAAGTTCGCCTAACAGCGCTTCCCCGAGATAGCCGAGTCCAACTTCAAGCTAAAGTCACAGAAAAGCAAGTCTACGGAGTACTCCATCCGCACTGCTCGCACTACTACTGGGGATCGAATCATGATGCTTAGCACACATGAACCGTGCGAGAATGTTAACCGTGTGGAACATTCGCTAAGCAATACAAACTCTTAGTTGGGGTGATGCACCATTCCACCAGCGCTCGAGCTGTGCACAATAGACCGCTGCCCGCGGCAGTTTGCACCTGAAAGGTTGTACCTGGATCAATTCGTGGCCTTGGCGTGACTCGGAAGGCTCACGGGTACGAGGGGCATCTCAACCCCCAACCTTCCATCGCTGTCAATGAACACAGTATAGGTAGAGAGAAAGGGCGTGTGGTAAGTGGCATCACCACCGTCTCAGCCTTGTTGCTTCAATACCCTTAACCAAACCGGGATGATAAGGGTATGTATCGTCGAAAGCCACAGAAGTGTTTGCAATCGACCTAAGGATGTATTTGGTCAACCCCATCATACTTCAACGAGTGCGCCAAAGTACTTTGACTCTAAAGACTTGATGGAATGCCTTCAATCGAGTCCATGCCACCTGAAGACATGCTTCCGAAGACAAGTCCTGGCCCGGCTTCCCCATCGGTCCACAGTACCAAGACACTACAGCATGCAAGCGAAGTGGCGACGATGGCATACCTCCAGTTGATTTAAATGTCTGTACGAAGAGTGTATGGATGGCCTTCGCAACTCTCTGAGGTTGTGGGTGCAGAATACAACATCCTGGAAAAATTGGAAGGAACGACACTAAGAGATATCCGGTTCCCTCGATGGGAAGCGTCAAAAGTTCCTACAAGGTTGTCGGACACCTCGTACGGCTGGATCAAATTGCTCTTTTCCCTGCAACCCCTGGCGAGCAGAACATTTCTCGCAAACGACCGGACTCAGCATCAAGTTTCGTAATGTCAGGTTCAGGGCCATGGATTCTGTATACGCCCCAATAGCTAGTACAGCTGGTGGCATGAGAGAAGAGATGCACTCGAGTGCAACCGCGGACCTCCTAAGTAATATGCTGAAGAGGACGTCCCCGTCTGACACTCTGGTGCGCAACTCGAATGGGTCAGTTGTTGCGGTTCCTGAGCCAAACTCCAATGGAGGATGAGCTTCCCCAAATCGCGGGTGTAGATTTTTCTATTAGTACCCCGTACGAACTGTGTACGTTATCAAGCGGATCGTGGCCAAGAAGTCGTTCAACGCATGGGCCTAAGAGGAGCCGGGTGCGGATCTGTCACTGGTCACCCAGAACGCATCAAAAGTACTCCAGGTTCATGGTTTGTAGTTGGTAGATTGTCGATAGCCGCAGGGTCTGCCAAGCCGATTTGGAGAACGCACAGCTAGAGTCTCAGGACGGCGTCGACGGCTTACACTGGAGTCCACATCAACTGGCGGGGATGCTCAGCGCCGAGTAACTAGATGTACGTTGCAGTTTTGAGTCTGGGGTACATAATCAGACTACTGTCCTCGTATCACGGAGTAGTGGGTCACACGATCAGCAAGACGAGGAGAAACCGGAAGCCTGAGCACACCGCCATGACTGCGTCCTGACCGATTTCTCCAACACGAGGAAGCCTCGTGGCCACGGCGCTGGAAATAGCAGTGGGGGCAACTGATAGTCCGACAGTCTTGAAGGAGATTAGGGGGTGCGCCAGCGACCCAGTCATACAGACAGTTCCTGATTGCCGTCGGCGGAAACCCTTTGCGCCATATCCGGCAGCTCTCTGACACTGTCAAATCCAGGCCGCAGGGGACTATTGAAACTCTGACGAGGGACCGGACAGTCTTGAGTACGGACACCGATGGTTGACTTGAGCCCCGAGAATGTCCGCTGACTGTGTCGTGTTGAATGACTCCCAAGTGGCTGGTACTGTAGGGATAAACATTTCTGGAGGCCGATATAGAGCACACAAGGTAGCGGGCACCAACCGGAAAGCTTCAGGCTAATGCAGGCCTAATGCTGGAGCTCTGCTGCCCCTTTCAGAGCTCGTCAGGGCGCTCCTGCTCTAGATTTTTCAGCAGTTCAACACCTCTTCATCCCGCAAATGGCGCCCTGTCATTGGCTCACAGAAAAAAAGTCCCAATTCAACAAAGAGTCACCACCCTTGAAGCTGAGTGTTCACACCGCATCGGACCAGCCGGCGTAATGCCGTTCCTTGCTTCCCTGATACCCAATTCTCCACTTCCGTCGTGCTTTCTGCGTGTTAAACTGCTGGTGATACGCCTCCGTGGCCTAGTGCCGCCTACTATCTACCCTGGCTGGCCTGCTAAGTGTCTGTCCTTCCGGTTTCACCCATGACTGACCCCAATTTCTATATGTTTCGCGCGTTAGGAGTCAACTGAGGTCGGGCTTCGTACACATACCCCTTCGGCACTTCCATTCGATAGCGTTTCCTCAGTTACACACGAGGCCAGGCCGTCTGTGCCTGTTCCGAGTACCGCCTTCAGTTTTGTCGTTTGCGATCATTGATAAACCCTCTGACTCCCCCGTCCATCCTCCGAATGCTTTCCAAACTTTCAAGATACCCAAAGTCGAGGTCAAACCTAGCCAAGCTGGTTCACTCGTCCAAGATGTCCACCACTGCCTCTCTGGACGCCCCCGTCGCCCAAAGCGTGGGCAACATCACTTCAATCACTAGCCCTCAGTCTACCCACACCCACCGGACAAAGCATACTCATGCCACCGCTCACGTACCAAGTCGGGCGGCTCACTACGACACCTCCCTTTCCATCCCAGTTCGCAAATACCTCCAGACCTACGGTCTGACTCCTCCCCGTGCAGAGAGCTATGAAGTGCAAAAGAAGAGATGTTTGGCACAATTGGCTTTGAAGCCCACAGACCTCGAGAGGTTTCTGTACCTGAGCACGATCAGATATAACAACGTCCACCTGTTCTACCGCCTGTTGACGGACCACTTCACGGAGTTGACTCCGCTGGTGTACACACCTACCGTTGGGGAGGCCTGCCAAAAATGGCACGAGATCTACCAACAGCCTGAGGGCATGTATCTCAGCTTCGAGGATCGAGGCCATCTTTCAGCTATCATCCAAAACTGGCCTCAATCCAACGTTGAGATCACCGTCATCACTGATGGTTCTCGCATCCTTGGTTTAGGCGATCTCGGAGTCGGTGGCATGGGTATTCCGATTGGAAAGCTTGCTCTGTACACCGGTTGCGCTGGTATTAGGCCTGAAGGGACTTTGCCATTGACCGTGGACTTGGGCACAGGCAACAAGGCCCTGCAGAATGACCCCCTCTACATGGGTAGTCGGAGGGACAAGGTCACGGCGGAAGAAGAACAAGAGTTCTTGGATGAGCTGATGGCCGCGTTGAAGGAACGCTGGCCGGACATTGTCATCCAGTTCGAAGACTGGAAGAATCCTTTCCCGTCTCTTGAGCGCTACCGTCATGATTACGCCATGTTCAACGACGACATCCAAGGTACCGGAGCCGTCATAATGGGAGGCATAGTAGGTGCTGTCAAGCAGTCCGGAATCGCTGCGAAGGACCACCGCGCAGTGTTCCTTGGTTCCGGCTCGGCTGGTGTCGGTGTGGCCAAACAGATCGTCGACTACTTCATGCACGAAGGTCTGACAGAAGAGGAGGCAAAGAACTGTTTCTGGCTTGTCGACAGCAAGGGCCTGGTGACCCAAGACCGAGGAGACAAGCTTGCTGACCACAAGATCTACTTCTCGCGAACGGACAACAAGGGGCAACAGTTCAAGACTCTGGACGAGGTCATTGACTACGTGAAGCCCACCATTATCATGGGCCTCAGCACCATCGGGGGTGCCTTCACTCCTGAAATTCTACAGAAGATGGCCAAGTGGAATGACAGACCCATCATCTTCCCCCTCTCGAATCCATCGTCCAAGTCAGAATGCACCTTCGAGGAAGCTATCGTTAACACTGACGGTCGGGCCCTCTTCGCTTCGGGATCTCCCTTCCATCCCGTCACGTACAAGGACAAGATCTACCACGGAGGCCAGGGTAACAATATGTACGTGTTCCCTGGTATCGGTCTTGGTACGATTCTCTCCAAGGCTGTACAGGTCACCCCGAACATGATCTATGCTTCTGGAGAAGCACTTCCGACCATGATCACCGAGGAGGAGAAGGAGAGGGCACTTTTGTACCCCGCCATCACCCGCATTCGAGAAGTCAGTGCACGGGTGGCTTTATACGTCATCCGTGCTGCGCAGAAGGACAACGTCGACAGACTGCACCATCTTCGTGACATGAGCGATGAACAATTGGAGGCGTGGATCAAGGACAAGATGTATGACCCGCACAAAGAAACTGAGGAGCTAGAGAACGAGGTTCGTGAGCTGGTGCAGGACATCATCAGCTCGCCGAAGCTGTGAGAGTTCTCGAGGGATGAATCAGTAGTATGATGATTAGCGAACCGATCATATTGTGTTGGGTGTTGTGGTCGGGCACTGGAAAAGTGGTATAGTTTGACAAGGACATGACGCTGGGACAGCGGCAGGCTTGCCTTTTACAGCCTCGATACCCTCTTGTTTGTAGAAGATGATGCTGCCGCGGTTTCACCCTTTCAGTTAGGCATTCTGAAGAGTCAATACAATTAAGAAATGCCGTACAGGTTGTCTGCAGTGTATTGCTTGAGGCACTCATCAGGACGCCGGCAAGTCCAGTGACGTATACGTGGGCCGAAGTTTACCCTGTGGCGTTGCGCAGCAACAGACAATTGCCAAGGCATTTCAAACAGTGATTCAGACGGTCATCAGTCGTTGGCTTGTGAGAACGCAGTCGACTTCAATGATGAGAGAAGCGAAAACCGTCTGAAACATTCGTGTCCGTGTAGGCAGTTGCATACAAAATCAGGGCTCTGTCATTGTCTCCATATTGTCCTACTGCGCAACGTACTGTTACCGGTAACGCAGGCGACGGTGAGCACCCAACTTTCTCACAATTCCGCGGGACACTTTGACCAGCTGACATTCTTGAAAGCGCGGCAGGAAACACTACGCTTCGCAGCGATCCAACGACCGCTAGATCTGTCTACAACTCCAAGACGAAGACGCACCATCGTCACCATGGCCTCGTTACTCACCACCATGTACGAATTCCTCAATTCTTCTCCTTCCCCTCAACCCTTGTCCCCACATTTGACCTTCAAACAATCCTCATCATGCGTGACTATCAACTCCTACACGTTTCTTGATACGCAAGAGGAGGCGAGAGACAAGGACGCAGCATCCGCGGCCAGCACACCTTCTCGCGCCCTCCAACTCCTCCGTCAAGAATTGAACTCGTCTCGCGCTCCCACTCCCAAGAACAAGGGTATTGACAGAAGTCCTTCTCCATCTAGTAATGCCCGTACACGGGGCCAATTCAAACCCCAGCGCGCCAACAAGGGAACCACAAGCTATCAGCTGAGACAGTTTGCCGAGGCGACGCTTGGGAGCGGCAGTTTGAGGAAGGCCGTCAAATTGCCCGAGGGTGAGGATCTGAACGAGTGGCTCGCTGTCAATGGTACGTCTATCGTCTGCTCTCTACACGAGCAAAGCGACGGCACGCGTAATGACTGACGTGGCGCCACAGTCGTCGACTTCTACAACCAGATCAACCTTCTCTACGGCTCGATTACAGAGTTCTGCTCGCCACAATCGTGTCCCGAGATGAAAGCCACGGATGAGTATGAGTTCCCTGCCCATTCCGCACCCGTCTCTTTGGCGCGCGTCTCCTAATGCCTTGTAGGTTCGAGTACCTCTGGCAAGACCCTGCCTCTGGCTACACAAAACCCACCAAGATGCCCGCACCGGAATACATCGAGCACCTCATGACCTGGGTGCAGTCCAACATCGACAACGAAGCCACCTTCCCGTCCCGCATCGGCGTGCCCTTCCCGAAGCATTTCCCTTCCACCGTGCGTCAGCTCTTCAAGCGCTTGTACAGAGTCTACGCGCACATCTACTGCCATCATTACCAGGTGATCGTGCACTTGGGACTGGAGCCTCATCTCAATACCAGTTTCAAGCACTTTGTGCTGTTCGTTGATGAGCACGGGTTAGAGAAAGGCGGCGGCAAGGATTATTGGGGTCCGTTGGGCGATCTGGTCGAGAGTATGTTGAAGAGTGATTGAATGGATGCTTCTCACGTGCGAACGAGCGAACCGGCCATACAAGACAGTGACTGATTGATTGAATGAAACGAATGAGACGAGTAAGGTCAGTGGACAATAACGGTGGGACTGGGCAGGCATGGGACCGTGCGTCAAATTCGGGTCGGGGTCGGGTCAGGTCAATTGGGCATTGGAATGGAATCCAGGATATGACATGTTCATGGAATCAAGCAAGCACGGCGTTCTAGGGGCAAGGCAGCGCGCTCGTCATGCCTGGTCGGTCGAGTAAATGCGACTTAAGGCAGCTGAATCGCGTTGTTTCAATAGACTGTCTGCACAGCAGCCAGGACTGAGATATTGGACACGAATGCGATGTGAGCGTGGTCTCGTGCAAGTCCGAGCCGGGAGCTTCGTTTCCTTCCTGGCCAACAAGGTCGATGGGGACCAGTTTTCGGGCTCACTGTGCAGCGTCGAGCAGACATGTGATCACGATCAGCTCGATACAGATTCGGTTTCATTTTCTTTGTTACTCGTCCTTTTGGTGCTCAAGAAGGCGACGGAACAGCTTCCCGTGAAGCGCTCGGTGATCTGGTACAAATACAAATCATCTGGGTGCCTGTCTTGGCTGAAGGACCAATCATCCTAGTTCGGGAAATAGAAAGTGCCCCCCTTCCCCTTCCCAGCCCGGGGTGCTCTCTTGGGCAAGGAGAGTCACGGAGTGTGAAGGCATCACTAGTACCTCCCTCTCCCATACCCTCCAGGCCGAAATCCCCCACGTCCTCTCGGTCCGCCTCTCATCATGTCGTCGCTGTACATCCTGCCTCCGCCGCGAGGAAAACCTCCCGGCGCACCGCCTCCAAACATTCCCCTCCCGACAGCCGGTCCGCCGACACCGTTCCCATAGTGTGATGATCTCGAGTTATAGCCTTCCGGTCTGCCGTCACGGTGATATGGATATGGGCCCGAGCCTGAGGGTCTGTCATCGCGGCGGTCGTAGCGGTCTCGGCCGTCCCTGTCCCTGTCCCTGTCCCCATCCCTATCACGTTCGCGTTCTCTCTCTCGATCTCGGTCTCGCTCCCTCTCTCGTTCTCTATCGCGCTCATAGTCGCGGTCTCGATCTCTGTCCCTGTCCCTGTCACGTCGGTCGTCGTCTCTTATACGATCGTGGTTCGCGTCTGAGATGGGAGTGTCTTCGAAGCCATATCTGCCGTCCGTGACGTCTGGGTCTGCATTTCTTGAACGTTCTCGACTTCGCCGGTCGTCGCGGGCGGGTTGTGCTTCGGCCTCGATTTCGACGTCTTCCATGACGTCGTCTCCGCTGGGCAGAGATTGTTGTGGTTCCGACACGGCCGGGTCAGACACTTGGCTGTTCTGATGTGGCTGTGAGATCAAAGTATTCGAGCCAGCCCCCGATCGCTTCAGTTCAAGCTTCAGAATCCGCCCGTCGGCTTTCTGGTTGTGGTATGTCGAAATGACCTGCTCTGCCATTGCCTTTTCCGCAAACACCAGCTCCGCCACGACTGCCGGACTCGTCTTGACCAAGCGACATGAAAGCATGCCGCTGACCCCATTCTCGTCTACCGTTTCACTTTGTAAGGCTGATTCAATGTCTGCAGCGGTCGTGCCTGGCGCAAAATTACTGGCTTCGACGACGAACGGGCCGGCTTTTCCTTTAATGCTCAGGCCGTTACCTCTCGACTTCCTCTGGGATGGGGAGATGATGTTAGCTTGGGGAGATTCAAGGGCGGAGACGAGGCGGTTGGAGGGAACGCGAGCCGAGCGGGCGTTCTGGTGAGGGTTTGCTGAGGAAGGTCGCGAGGGCGGGGTGAAGGGGTTGTGTCTGGACGAGTTGGTGCTGGCCACCGAAGACGAGCGCTGTGAGTCCTCAAGTGTCAGCGAACAGGTTTCTCAACCGTACCGTGTTGAGGGCGCTTGTCCAGGCGGGTTACCTTCGTTATACGGCTCGCAAGGTCAGGAGTCTTGGTTGAGTTCTTGGCTGTGGCTCTTGAGTTGGCTTTGTTGGTCTTATTCCGACCAAAAATCTCGTTGGCAAGGGCCTCATTCTTCTTGCGCTGGCGGTCTGCCATGCTGGTTAGAGGGGCGGACTACTGTGAAACGATCTCGTTGGAGATGCATACCAGCCTGGATGATGGCATCAAAGTCGGTCGCGACTTTTGCGTTAGACATTGTCGGCGAAGAATGTCAGAAGCCCAGATTAAGTGGCTGCGAGGAAGACCTGAAGTAGGAAGACGTAGTCGTGCGAGGTGGTGGTGGTCTAGAATGGCACTGACACTGGCCAGGCGAACTTTTGACGGGGAAGGGAAGTTGCAGTTGCATCTCCACCTGCAAATCGTCGCGCTTGGCGGCGATCTTCTCGTCGATTTCAACGCTTGATCTCCATGCAGTCGGGCGCTCGCAGGATCTCATTTTTCTAGCAACTCTACCACGGCCACCGAGAGCATATCGTCCGGCACTCACCCACAGATCTTCTTCCGGTAGAACAGCCGCCATGTCTGTCGCCCTCCGCCCAGTTCTGCGACCGAACTCACTTCCCAGCTTGCCTTCCTCCACCACCACTTCCACAACATATGTCTGTCAGGCGTGTCGACATGCGCGTCTCATCAAGCGCCCCAAGCGACCTTACACGTTCACTCAACTTGTCACTCTATCCGACGGCAGCGCCTTCACCATGCGAACGACTTCTCCTATACCGGTCTATCGATCAACGAGAGACACCAGAAATTCTGCGCTATGGAACCCAACATCCCGGGAATTGCTGAATGTAGAAGACGACGAGTCCGGGAGGTTGGCAAGCTTCCGGGCACGGTTTGGCACCAGCTTCGACAGTCAGAAGACGATCAAGAAGACCGATCAAGCTGCTCCTCCCCCTGCGCCTGCGGATATTGCGATTCCGGATGGAGGAGTGCAAGCTGCATCGGTCAAAGAACCCGCGAGAGAACTTATGTTCGAGGAGGAGCAGAATCTCTTTGAAGAGGACGACGTGAACATGTTGGACTTTATCAGTTCATTTGGCCAACAGAACAGCCAGCCGAATCAACCGCCATCACAGAAGAAGGGTGGGAAGAAGTAAGAGCAGCGCCAGTATTAGGACCATCTCCTTTGCACGACACGGTGCCCACAAGTGAGGTGTGAGGAGCGTTCGGGGTTGAAGGCTGGTCAAAATGTACATTATATTCTCGGGATCGAAACCGATTTCAAGCAGTATACCTGAATTGAGCGCCTTTCCACCGGCTCTTTCTGGTCGCTTCTTTGGCACATGGCTTTGGACACAAGCATGGCTCTGGCAGGTCTTCCCTTCCTCAGTACCAACGGCCTTCCTAGGGGCTCAAAGAAGTCGAGCTACTGAGCAGTGGGTGACGACCTTGTTCAGCCAGTGGCTTCCCCCGAGTGACGGGGGCTTATGACTACAAGATCAGTCTCTTCGTACCTTCTCGCCCAGTGCTCCTTCGAGGCCCAGCCCGATGTTGGCATCAACCGAGGTGGACGTCATGTCTTGAGATGCCCGCAGCAGCCAAAACCATCTTCCTTGGATATACCCTCGAAAAGACCCTCTTTTTATGTTAATCTCTCTGATCTGCCAGAAAGCTGCCGACAACGAAAGGAGCCTATATCACCGACGAAGAAACACACCAGAACAAGCGAGCAGTCTGGAGGGTTGTAAGGACATTTTGACGTCCAATGATCCGGAAACCCGGTTGTGTTGGTTGCGTGCCATGTTTCCAATCGGTTTCTCACTCAAGATAGAAAGAGGTACTGATGTTCTAAGACGGGGTCTCGCACGTACAACATATGGGATCTAGAGCGGCTATAATGCACCTCGTGGTCGAATACGATATGCTATCCTGGAGCATTAGAAACACTTGGATGTTGACACTGGTTGGAAGGGATTGGTCGTGCACCTATTGAACACGCATGGCTTGGCAATGACGCGCGCTCGACGCGTAAAGTTTAATGGATCACAGTCGGAGATGGTGGGCCATTTTTGCACCGCGTGTACTCCGTACCTCGTACTCGATTCTCGACTCCTGCACCTCATATGAGTTTTGTTGCGCCACAAGTGACCGTGCACTGCTGAGAGTCCTCGGAGGCGATTACTCGAGGTAGAGGCGGGAGATAATACCCCTTCAATATGTGCTAATTGTAATCGATACTGCTCGTTTGCCACTGCCGCACCCACGTTGGTGTCTCGAGTACCCGCCCTTTTCCACCCACCATGGCGTCCGAGGATTCACTGTCACAATCGGACGATGAGTTGTTCAATCCGAATTACACAACCCTTCATGAAACTGTCGACACAGTTCCCCTTCACCGGGTCAACGTGGCAGACGACAACTCTGATTTCGAGTCGTTAGCCACCTTGCCGGTCAGTCGTCCAGCCCAGAATCGACAGACGCAGCCCACGCAGCTCATTGACCGTTCTCCTGCGAAATTGTCTTCCTCACCCCCTAAAGCCTCGTTCGTCCAGGTGGCCGCTTCCTCGCCAATGGCCGCGCCGACAGTGGAGAGAAAGCCCATGGGCATTCTTGCCAGTGCTATGGCACCCGCAGGAACAACGTTCAGAAGACCCTATGTGGCGCCTCAAACGCGGCCGGCGCCCATCACGATCGATTCTGACGACGAAGGTCCTGCATACAAGGGTGGGTCATCGGATAGCGATGAGCCTAGAAGGACCAACGACATAAAGCCATCGACATTTGTACGGAAGCGAGACCCCTCGCCTGGAAAGATCCCCGAGTCACCACAACCTCAGAACGATGGGCGAAGTCGGTTTATGGAGCTGACTGCGCGTGCCATTTTCAGAGGGTCACCTGCTTCCATCTCGTCTGGTGGATCAAGCGGAGCGAAACGTTCCGCGGACGCCATGGCGAATGCGTATGGCAACGTCTCGAAGAAGCCCCGGCAGGTCGCGCCCTCCCGCGCCCTTCCAGTATCATCATCGCCTCCTAAGTTGGTACAAGAGATGGAACTGGATGACATCACCGAATACAACATGCGGCAGAAGGTGAATAGACTGATGTCGATGCTGAGCGCGGTCACTGTCAGAGAATGTTTCGAGGTTTTGACGCTGAAGAAGGGAAATTATGACGAAGCGGCGGATGAACTCCTTCTGCGAAGCGAAAGGCGTCCGGGCAAGAACAGCGCAGTCGACCTGACGCTGTCTGACGACGAGCTGATGCCGACGCCTGCGGCGACGAAGAAGCCCGTGGCACCACGCCTCAACGTCACCCGCCAGCAAGCCAAGGTACCACAGCGAAGTATCACAGAGAAATGGAGCTCAACTCAGAACGTCAAGAAACCGAAAGCGATCGACGTCTTCGATACCCCTCTTCCACAGAAGAAACGAACCTTGGTACGCGGTCGGCGGCAACGCTCATCTTCGCCAGCAGCTGCCGCGCCCGAACCCAAGGTCAAGCCAAAACCCTCACGTGTTCAGGCGATCCAGTCAGATGAGTCTGACGCGGCCGACTCTGCAATGAGTTCGGAGGACGAAGCCCAAGGCACATTTCAAAGTCGAGTCCTTGGACTGTTCAACACCTGTTCTGCCGCGGACTTGGCAGACATCTCTTCTATCAGCCGTGACGTGGCAGAGCATGTCATCTCAAAGCGACCTTTCAGGAGTCTTGATGCCGTTAAAAAGATTGAGGACTCGAAGCCGGCCAAGGGTCGAAGGAAAACGGCGATTATCGGAGAACGAATTGTTGACAAGGTCGAGGACATGCTTCGAAGTTACGAAGCTGTGGACTACCTTGTCAACCAATGCCAGAACTTGGCCAAGCCTCTGTCACACGAGATGAAAAGTTGGGGGTCCAAGGCAATCAGCTCACAGACTGGAGAGTTGGAGATGGTCTCCCTACAAGCACAACGCTCCAGTCATGACTCAGGAATTGGAACGCCTGTGAGTGACGACGAGGACGTCAAGCGCTCTGGATCGAAAGGCTTCATCAAACAGCCGTCAATCATGGCCGATGATATTCAGATGAAGGACTACCAGGTCGTGGGCCTGAACTGGCTCAATCTGCTCTACAGCAAGGGTCTGAGCTGCATTCTAGCCGATGACATGGGTCTGGGCAAGACGTGTCAGGTCATCGCCTTCTTGGCGCACCTGTTGGAGCAGGGTAAGATGGGACCTCATCTTGTCGTCGTACCAGCTGCGACTCTTGAAAATTGGCTCAAGGAATTCCAGCGATTTTGTCCAGCATTGAACGTTGAACCATATTATTCGACAAGCCCCCAAGAACGGTTTCATCTGCGAGAGACCCTTACCGATAACAGGGAAGATGTCAACGTCATTGTAACCACGTACACAATCGCCAAAGGTAAAGAAGATCATCCTTGGTTGAGAACGTACGGCTTTGACTGTACCATTTACGACGAAGGCCATGTTCTCAAGAACGCATCTTCGCAGGTCTCGAAACAATTGACCAGGGTCCAGTCAAACTTTCGGCTCCTGCTCACCGGGACACCACTGCAGAATAACCTGAAGGAGCTGATCTCCCTGCTCGGCTTTCTCATGCCAGGGTTGTTCAAGGAAAAAGCTGAAGAACTCGAGACTATCTTCACCCACAACGTCAAGGCTCTCGACAACCACCATGAGATGCTCCTGTCGACACAGAGGATCCAGCGGGCTCGCAGCATGCTGACTCCGTTCATACTGAGGCGAAAGAAGTTTCAAGTCTTGAAAGACCTTCCGAAGAAGGAGCGTAGGACCGAGCTCTGCGATCTGAGCCCTGAACAAGCCGAATTGTATCAACTATGGCTTGACAAAGCGTATGAAATCCGCGAACGGCGCGAGAGAGGGGAGAACGTCAGCAATGAATCCACAAACGTGCTTATGAAACTGCGATTCGCGTCTCTCCATCCGTTCCTCTTCAGGCGCCTGTATTCCGACAGGAAACTACCCATTATCGCGAAGCAATGCCTGAAGGTTGATCTGTGGCGTGAGTCCAACCCGGATTTGATCGTCACAGAACTGCTCGAGTACAATGATATGGAAGTCCATAGTCTTTGTGACAAGCACCCACAACTCCAGAAATTTGCATTGAATGGCGACGAATGGCGTGCCAGC